CGAATCACGGATCCTATGTCCGAATCCTTTTTGCAATAAAAAAGGATTCGAATCAAGTGATTCGAAATTCGAATCCATTTTTTCGGATCACGATTACGAATCATTGTCAGCGTCATACCATGGTATTATGCATGCTTCCGAATCTAATATCAATATCAACTATGTGTCTATTACCGACTATAACTTATATATAAATGGTTGATATAAGAAAATGTTGAAAAGAATAAACTTATTTTTTTTTCTATAAACATGAACCATAAATAAATTAGAATCTACAAAAAATATATTTTATTTGAATACAAAAAATAAAATAAACAATGAAATAAAAATGTCTTTTGGTTAGCTTTACATAGCACCAAAATTTCGAGGTGCATCGATTATACCTACAAACAAAAATAATCGTTATAGTGCACCAGACGAAGGAAGGCAAGTGTTAAATTTTAGGATTTTCTTATGTTGGACTTTTATTGTTAATTTGTGATGTCAAAGAAGTCAGCATAGCACCTAGGCAATTTTGAGTTAAAACCTATGCCATATTTTTAGGCTATTTTAAAGCTATTTTTATTCTACTGTTTTTTTGCAAAAATCAAGGTGCTCTGCTAGCTTCGAACGAAGTCAGCAGAGCACCCCAATTTTTTACTTTCCTATCTGTATACAGATATAAGGAAAGTATAGGAATCATGATTTTTTTCGACCTCGAGTTTTCGACGGATTTTTACGTTTTGAGGTCCCCTGAATCCGTTTTGACTATTTTCGCGATGATGTCTGTGTGTGTGTGTGTGTGTGTGTGTGTGTGTGTGTGTGTGTGTGTGTGTGTGTGTGTGTCTGTATAACGCATAACTCATGAACCGATACACAGAAAAACACCAAATTTTAAACTTAAGCTTTGTTTCAGCGTCCAATGAGCTGATTAGATTTTGGGCAGTGTCGGAACATCTGGGGGGGTACTTTATAGGTGGTCATTTTTATATTTTATGGAATATATCTGTTATTTACGGTTGGAGAAGAAAATTCTTCAAATAAAAGTTACTTCTAATATAATTATCTATAATTTTTGTATTATGCAAAATTTTCCTAAAATGGTCCGTATTCGAGAAATTTGACAAAATGTAAAAAAAAATAATTTTTTATAAAAATTGTTCAAATAAAAGTTGTTTGTAATATAATTCTCTATAATTTTTATTCCATACATAATTTCTCTAAAATGGACCGTATTCGAGATATTTGAGAAAATGTGTAAATTTCGAATTTTGAAGAAAACTCAAAAACGGATAAAGAAAAAAACATTAAATTTTAAATCTAAGGTTTATTTCGGCCTGACGTGAAATGATTAGATTTTGGACAAAGTCGGAACATCTGGGGGGGGGGGTACTTTATGAAAGACCGTTTTTATATTTTATGGAATATATGTGTTATTTATGTTTGAAGAAGAAAATTGTTCAAATAAAAGTTACTTCTAATATTATTATCTATAATTTTTGTTTTATGTCAAAATTTCCTGAAATGGTCCGTATTCGAGAAATTTGACAAAATGTGCAAAATTCTGATTTTTAAGAAAATTGTTAAACTAAAAGTTGTTTGCGATATTGATCTCTATAATTTTTGTTTTTACATGATTTTTCGAAAATGAACCGTAATGGAAAAATTGGAGAAAAGTACTAAATTTAAATTTTTCAGTAGTTTCGTTTTCAATGAATATCTGTAAAAAAATGTTTCGAGTTAAATGTATGTGGAAAATGTATATATTTAGTTTATTCCCTAAATATTTATAGAGGAGGTATAATAGGTTGTACAAAATAACCGCCTATAAAGCCTATAATAACTAGATAGGAAAGTCATGTGTTGGACACATCAGATTTTTAAGTTTGTTTCCAAAAACAACGACACAATATTTTTAGGCTCTTAAAATATTATTTTTAAAAAATACAGGGTGCTTTGCTAGCTTCGAACGAAGCCAACAAAGCACCTCTGTTTCAACAAAGCACCCTGTATTTTTTTAAAAAGCACCATTTTTTCAAAAAGTTTTAAAATATTTTAAGAGCCCAAAAATAGCTCAAACATGTGACAAGTAGATGTTTCAAGAAAAAAAAAATAAACCGAGGTGCTCTGCTGACTTTGTTCTAGCAAAGTAGCTTTGGAATTATTTAAAAATAGCAATTTTTATTAAAGTTTTAAAATATTTCAAGAGCATAAAAATAGTCTAAAAATGCGGTGTGGTTGTTTTTAGAAAAAAAGTTTTAAAAAACCGAGGTGCTCTGCTGACTTTGTTCCAACAAAGCACCCTGCATTATTTATAACTAGCAATTTTTTAGTAAAGTTTTATAATATTTAAGGAGCCTAAAAATAGGCTAAAAATGCAGTGTAGTTCTCTGCTAGTTTCGAACGAAGCCAGCAGAACACCTCGATTTTTATAAAAAACATGGAGCATAAAATTTTTGAATAGAATATAAAAATAGCCTAAAAATATGGCATAGGTCTCAACTCAAAATTGTCTAGGGGCTCTTCTGCCTTCTTTGAATTAATTATGTTAAAGTTTTAATGTATGCCGACGACCTAAAATTATTGCTTGAAATCAATTCTGTTAACCATTGCTTGCGACTTCAAAAGTGTTTGTCCGACATTGCGAAGTGGTGTCTCGATAATTCACTCCCTCTAAATCCTGAGAAATGTTCCGTAATGTCGTTTACTAAAAAAGTAACACCTATAATTTTTGATTACAAACTACAGAACATTGTTCTAAATCGACCCGAATGTATAAGAGATCTCGGAGTTTATTTTGATCCTGAACTATCTTTCGTTAAACACATTGAAACGATGTTATCTGCTGCGAACAAGAGCTTAGGGTTTGTTATTCGAAGCTGTAAAGAATTCCGAGACATAGTCACCTTAAAAACTTTATATATTAGCTTTGTACGGTCAAAACTTGAATACTGTTCTGTTGTTTGGAATCCCGTGCATAACATTTATACTGATTTACTCGAAAAAGTTCAAAGAAAATTCATGAAATCGGCTTCCTATGTTTTAGATGGTATATACCCTGCAAGGGGATATCCCCACGCTTTACTAATATCTAGATTCAATCTTTCAGAGCTCGTGATACGCAGAAATTTCCAACAGGTACTCCTACTTTATAATCTTTTAAATGGCTCAGTCGACAGTATTGATTTGTTAAATTACGTCAATCTAAAAATCCCCCGTGCAGGATTAAGAGTTTACTTGAGTTTCTACATGCCTGCTTCTAGAACTAATGTTTTAAACTCATCTCCAATGTACCAATCTATTCAGAAATATCATGAAATTCAAGACAGCTTGGACATTTTTGCATGTAAAAAACATATGATTAAAAATGTTTTCTCTTTGTAAATGTAAAAAAAAATGATGTACAGCATGTAATGCAATGTAGACAACCATTTTTTTTATCCTGTGTTCGGTCAGTTTTTTTCTGGATGTTTACATTGTATTGTATAGCTTTTTAACAATTTTGTATTTGTATTTATATTTTAATGTTTTCTTGTCTTTCCCACCCAGTAAATGGTGATTACTGTTGGGTGGTGTAACAAATAAATAAATAAATAAATAAATAAATAAATTTGTAGATTCTTACGTTTATCGTCTAAATATTAACAATCGGTATTCAGTCTCAGTCTGTTTCACATGGAGTTTACACTTCGCTAAAGTCAAAGTGTAATTCGACCGTTCGCGCCGGCGTAGTTTGGTCTCTAAAAGGATCCGAGACTAATATTGGTGATTCGAATAAGAATCCTTAAAAATTTCTTCGGCAAATCCGAATCACGGATCCTTTTTTTCTTAAGATTCAAATACCGCTCGCAGATCCTCAAAAAGGATTCGATTCCCAGGATTCGAATCCTATGTGATTCGAATCCTCCCCAGCTCTGCGAGACATACGTAGTTTTTGTTATAATGTTAATTATTTTTTCTTAATATATTAGGCTTTATTTTTATTGTTTTTTGTTTGATAGTCTTAAATGCGTGTGGATTAGGCGTCCTGGGAATACCACAATAAAATAGTAAAAATGTTAAATAAACTGTTATAATTTAATGCGGGATGTTAGAAATTATTGTGATATATAGTCTTAAATATGGACCTGTAATAACATTGTGTAGTGGTGTAAGTCAATGTAAATATAAATGTAAACAAACTTAATATATAATTTATCTTATTCTTAATTATTTTGTGACAGAAAGTTTTGAGAATTTCTGGTTTCTATTTTTTTACTTTTTGGTCACATTTGAGATATTTTATATATAACATAATAATAAAGACCTGTCCTATTCCATTTTGTACCTCAAAAATATAATAATTTGACATTAAAATTTAGGCAGTAAAATCGTCTGTCCAAAAATAAAAATAATATCGTTGTATTCTGTTTTTTTAGCTCTTTTCAAAAAAAAGGAAACGAATTATAAAAAACAGAGTATTGCTTTGAAGATGGAAAAAATTTTGTATACATCGGTATAATCAACATGATATGGATGATAAGTATTTAATGATAAGCTTGAACAAGGTTTTTAATGTGCGGACCTATATTTTTATCTAGGGTCATCAATGCGTTTGACCTTACACATCACTCATTCTAAAGTGCATTCGGATGTGAAAAAATTATCCACAAAAAAATTAGATGCTTTAATTTTCTATATTTTCTGGAAATTATTTTGAAGCAAACCTATTTAAACCTAAATAAATCATATTCTATATAGAATTATTGTTCTGAATGTTAACGATGTCAATGTTAAAACCGTTTGACAATAGAATTTTGAAACACTCCGTATACTTCTTTTATAATAATATTCAAATCAGCGTTTTAAATATATTGTATTCTCTCATGAAATTTTACAATAATAGACGACATTGTGAACATTTTCTCATCAAACTAATGGATAATTTTTATCCCATTACACTACGTTGTTATAATTAATATAATTGTTTCAAATTATCTTAAAAGCTAATAAATTAATGTGTATTTATTTCTTTCTTTCAGCAATTCGCTCCCAATATCGATAGAACCAACAGACTTTCACCGCAACAACAAGGGCAAATCCTAAGCGACATTCAACAGCATCAGCACAGATTTGATCTCTCGCAAAATCGACACGCTTTTGAACCACAGCTTTTTCAAAATCGGCAACAACAGCAGAACTTCCAACCAATCATAAATCAACAGTTCACATCGCAAAGTCCAATTCAACTTAATAATCAAGAAAATTTTGCGCGAAATGAATTTTTAAACACGCTACCTTTACTTAAATCCATCCCTTCGAACGTAATACCTACCCCTCAACAGACTTTCCAACAAATTTCTTCACCAACTTCCCAAACTCCTTCTAATCAGATAATTTTCCCGAGCCAACCACCTACCGAAGCTAACAAAATTCTCCAACATCACACTCAAACCAATTTTCAACCATCTAGACAACTAAGTCCGTTTGGACCACAGTTTGTACAACCAAGACCTACTTCAGATCCTCTTGCAGCTATCGAACAACAAATCAAGCTTCTAGATCCAGAGAAACACAAACAGAAAATACAAGAATTGAGAGAAAAGCAATCGATAATTGAAAAACATAATAAGTTTGTTGAAAGGCAGTACGAAAAAGCTTTAAAGAAAGCCCAAGATGATCATCAAGATTTCGTAGAGAAGCAAAGAAACCAGAAGAAGCAGCTATATCAAAGATTGTATAAACCTAGTAACAACGATAATATTCGATTACCTCAGTCACAGCCTAGATACATCTACCCTGAGGAAGCAAATTTATTCGAACGAGCTATTAAACAGTACTACATAGAACATCCAACAACTACTACCACAACAACTACCACGACAACCCCTAAACCAAGCACAACTACCAAAAAACTTTCTGTAAAATTACCAAGTTTCCTTCCAACGGCTTTGCCTCAATCTAGACTCAAAACTATCCAGTCGTTGGATGATTTAGACCAGCTTCAAAAGGAATATAAATCGCAGAGGATTCGGAAAGATGACTTAATTGAACAACTCAGATTAGCCATTAGCAGAAGTCAAGAAGAAGATGGTTCTAAAAACCTGGCTTCAAGAGAAATATCCTTATCTAACGGCAAAAAAATACAATTCATCAACGCTGACGATGCTTCCAAGCTTCCAAAAGGAAAAGAAGAAGAAATCACTTTGCCAGACGGTAAAAAGGTAACAGTTATTAGAGCTGACAATCCCGACAATAAGAGCGATGAAGAAGTTACTTTACCAAGCGGTCACCAGGTGCAAATTATTAGAACTTCAGATCCTAACGCAATACCAAAAGGTATTGGAGGTGCACCGCAAGAAATCACTTTACCTAACGGTCAAAAAGCACAGTTGATCACTACAAATCAGAAAAAACAAAGCGTTACCGTTACTGAACCAACTCCTATCGAGGAAATTATACTACCTAACGGCGAAAAAGTTGAACTAATCAGAACCTCAGATCCCAACTTGGTATCAGATGGCGTAAAACTAGAACCAGGTAGTGACCTGGAAAAGTTAGTTTTTTCTAGAACCACTACAACAACTACAGTAAAACCACCAATGGAAATACTAGATGAACTTACTAAAAGTGTTCCATCTTCAAACTATGAATTACTAAAAACCGGAGCAAGTGGAGGTTTGGAAACAATTGGCAAGCATCTACCTAAAGAGAAAAAAGTAACTTTCGTACTTCTAGAAGAACAAAGTGATGGTACTCTTAAAGTACAAGGTGTTAAAGGTAACGATAAAGACAAGAATGTAGACATTGACGCTATTCTTAGCAAGATAAAACGAGGTGAGATAAAGTTACCAGATAATCATAAAATTGGATCAACAACTAAAAGACCTGAAGTATCGTCTACAATAAGAACTATTCAAACATCTACTTTAAGACCAATTAAAGCAACTATAACTCCCAATTCTTTTGCTACAGAAGAGTCAGACAGATTTGTTTCAACCACTGGCTTTGCCTCTGAAGAAGATTCTAGCTCTGAGATTCCATCGATAAAAACAAATATAGGTACTCAAATTATTTCATCATCATCCATATTGCCATACTTTTCTTCTCCTACCACAACTAGAAGTCCAAAGAAGGCTTCAAGAACTGCTCATATATTGAACAGCCCTTCTGACGATCTACAAAATCAAGCTTCCAGTGTTCAAACCTCCCCAAGCAAAAACTTACTGGCACCAAATCCCACTGACGTAACTATCCAAAAAAGCGTGACACCTTCAGTAAACTTATTTCCAATTCAAGAAACTTTCACATCACCCGAGTCTTCGAAAGAAGAGATGACTGATATTTTGAAGAAAAACAACTTATTCGCTATGGCTAAGTTCTTGAAGCAGTCTGGTTTGGACACCATTTTGAACGAAACAGGACCGTATACGATATTTGTTCCTACAGACAAGGCTTTCAGGACTTTGTTGATTCAATTGGGAGGACCTGAAAAGGCCGAAGAGAAGTTCAAGGAAAATCCGAGGTTATTAAGTGGGGTAAGCATCTATTATTTCTTTATTTTAAATTAATAGTAAATTTTTGTTCCACGCAAATTGTATGTTTAAAAACGGTCTATTTATTTGTTAGCACTGTTATCAATCGTTACAAAACCATTTTTAAAACCATAGAATAGCTATTTATGTAACCAGTTACGAATTGCCTTATTTTGTGTAACGAGTAAATATTTGCGGGACGAGCGGAGCGATTTTAACATGTCATTAGTTTCCAAATTAGTCTCTCTATACGGTATAACAACGGCGTAATTTTATGTCCACTCGCGGCTAGATGGTAGCTGCGTTTGCCCCTCCACTTTTGGAAAACAATGACACATGAATCAGTTGTGTCTGCAACTTTAAGGGAGATGTTACTTACTCCATGGTTAAATGTTGTCGTATTTGCTATTTAGGACAAGTTCTTTGTGATTTATGTGCCCAAATTTGGGAGTAATAATATTCGTTTTTCGTCTCTCCTGAAAAATTTATAATTAAGCATTTGCGTCATTGTTTTACCGAAACAGCGATATGTAATTTAACGTTTCTAGTCCGACAACACAACAAGTGGTTGAAATGAAATAATTATATTATTTTACAGGTAGTTATGCAACTAACAATGCAATGATATAGGGATGGATACACATACTTTGATTACTATACGGTGCAAGAGAGAGGTCCGATACGCCCAACATAGGGCGCGGCCATTTTGATTCCTATGCCACAGTTTATAGCTAAAGAATCAGATCGCTCACTCTGCGTCGGCACTTTTGATCTCAATGTTCCAGTTTATACACTGCGCAACTCGGATAATACAATATATGACAACCGCCTATAATAAAACAGCAGTCTTCTACGTATCCTGAATTTGTATCCCTGGAGTGGATGTTATTTTGGAACTTTCAACTGGTCCGAGTGAGCTAACTGATTCTTTAGCAATAAACTGTGACTCCAAAAACAATATTCACTGACACTGACAGCAGCAAGCAAAATATCAGGTACGTTTTAATCATCTGCTTCTGCTTCCGGAATTGTCGGTTTAGTCGTTTTAACCTGTCAGATTAAAACAAGAAAACCGACAATTCCGAAGCAGAAGCGGATGATTAACACGCACCTATTAAAAATATTGCGCCAAAATGTAGGCAACACGTAATAAGGGATCAAAATGGCGGAGTTTTCTATCTCCTTTTAAAAGGCACTCAGAAAGCTGCGCAGTGCGACCATTCTCTGTATAGTAAAAGAAAATCAAAGTATGTGGATGGATGATATTTGATGTCACAGTGATTTTGTCAGCGTTATAATACAGGTTTGTTCCAACATAAACCAAATCAGTTTGTGTACTGTCGGGATTCTGCGGAGTCTAGAATTTGTGTTCCAACAAACCTTAGACTCGAAACTGTAGAAAACCATAGTGTTCCAACACAACCAAAATTAATCACAAACCGATTTGTGTACTGTCAAATCAGTTCCTGGGTCTGACATGCGCTAAGCCGCAATAAACTGAACATTTCGTGATTGTAATTATATTATTTGTATTTATTGTCTCTGACAGTTCTGATTTGTATTTGTTAATCGAGCTTAGTCTTCATAGTTTTTGTTCATGATCATTTATTTTATTTTGTGGTTTATTATTGTAATAATGCGTCTGTTGAATTTAAAAAATGTATTCCAACATAATCGAGTTCCGAGTTTAGTCCCAATCCCCGACCAGTACCTGACAAGTTGTCAATTACTAGTCATCGACAGATTGTCAACAATAAGTTTTGGACTGGTTTATGTATTGTTCCAAGATCGTTGTTGGAACAAACCTTACAGTAGTAATTCATGACATAGAAGTCGTGACAAGACAAAATGTTATGCTGGAAAAAAAATCGAGTTAAATTATTATAAAGGGGATTCGTGCCCTTATTCACTTATGAAAATAATTAATGCTATTCGCGCGAGGTCATAAGAGAAAAACGAAAACCGTTTCGCAAGTTACAAATGTCACTTGCTATTTCAAATTATCTCCAATCGTTCCAAGTTGGAAAAATCTACTGTGTGTGCGATAAAGTTGAATCCATATGGGATTTTTTTTTTAATATTACGATTGAAGAAAAAAAGCGTCGTAGGGCAATCAAATACAACAATTTTCTGAAATATTTGATAGAAAGTACCTACAAAAGAATGATGGTGAATCATTTTTTAACTAAACAGAATTTTATAAATAATCAAGTCAAAATTAGGCATTCCAACGACCTGTCCAAATGGCTACCAGTGGGTAATGACAGTTTAGATATGGCAACCCTGTTGTCATGTTGTCATATAACTATATATATATATAGTTATATAGATTGCTCAAAGCTGGTCGTTTACGAGCGGCCATATTGCCTGGCAAATATTTATTAATTTGAATCGGTTTAGCAAAAATGTGTTTTAAAATCAATTTTTAGCATTTAGATATTTAAAAAAAAATAATTGCTTACATTTGTACTTCAAGGCATAAGCTTATGTTTATTTTGAAAAATATGGATGATCAATCTATGTAACTATCTATTTCATTGACCTTGTCAAATCACCAGGCCTACAGGGTTGCCATAATTTTGCCATATCATAACCCGTCAGAACCCACTGGTAGCCATTCAGTTTGGAATGCTTAATTAGAAAAACTCTTGTATATAGAACAGAAGTAAAAGTTGGAAATGTTTTTGCCAGTTCTCCCACTTTATACACATAAATTGACAGGATGGCAGCGGATCTCACCGAAGTGGACGCGATACATTGGCGTACAAAATTATTTTATAGATGTTAATAACAATTTCGAGTAAATAGTTTAATAAATTATGAATAGCTGTTGAAATTTTGTAAAATTATAATTTGAATATTATAATACATGTTTAATAATTATTTATAATCCATAAATACATGCGATTGTCCGGTTCCGCCGATAACAATTTAAAATATCTTATTCTATGAAACGACACTGGCAGGTAAACATTACTCTGAAATTCTCGGAGCCGCCCGACGTGGTTTGACGTTTACCCCCTCTCTACCTACCAAAAGACTTTTCAACTTTTACTTTCTCTATACTTTATTAGAAATCTACATTTTACTTTTTGTGCCATTTACCGTTATATGCATTTCCACTTATTTAAATATTATAAATGTTAGAAAAATCTGTTTTTCACTGTTTTTGCCATCTACCAATTATTTACATGTACGTTTGAAATATAGAGAAATCTACTTAGAACAGAAGTAAAAGTTGGAAATGCTTTTGCCAGTTCTCCCACTTTAGACACATAAATTGACAGGTTGGCAGCGGATCTTAGCGAAGTGGACGCGATATATTGGCGTACAAAATTATTTTATATATGTTAATAACAATTTCGAGTAAATAGTTTAATAAATTGTGAATAGCTGTTGAAATTTTGTAAAATTATGATTTGAATATTATAATACATGTTAAATAATTATTTATAATCCATAAATACATGCGATTGTCCGGTTCCGCCGATAACAATTTAAAATTACTTATTCTATGAAACGACACTGGCAGGTAAACATTACTGCGAAATTCTCGGAGCCGCCCGACGTGGTTTGACGTTTGCCCCCTCTCTACCTACCAAAAGACTTTTCAACTTTTACTTTCTCTATAACACGTTACGAAATGCCGTTTTGTGTTACTCGTTACACAAAATAAGGCATTTCGTAACTGGTTACATAAATAGCTATTAAAATCATAGAAACATAAATTAAAGGAACTTAATATTAAATTTTATCAAGTTTAAACAAATTACTTTATTATAATTTTGAATTTTAGCTACTATTACATCACGTAATACCAGGGGCGTTCAAAATAAGTTCTCTACAAGATGAAATGACTGGAGTGTCTTTAGCTGGGACGCAGTTGCGTGTTAATCAATATAAAATGCATGACAAGGAATGGAATGATGTTAAAGTGAGTATTTCAACAAGGGACTTGCCTGGTAGACAATCATTGATAAACATCACATATTTTTTGGTGTAATACTTGTAAGACTATTTCTGTAATATTTACCTGTAAAAGTCTTATTAGATCCCAGCCGAAGAACCGTTTTTTCTAATATTTTTTATTAAAAAGTAATGTCAACTTGATCAATTTTTTGTTTTTCCACCGTCTACCAGATTTTTTTTTTATTAAAATGCCATTAAACTAACTACTAACTCTTAGTTACTACTTAAAATAATTGGAAATATAAAATAACAAAATATAACAATTTCGTCTTCATTTCCTGCATTATTTAATTTGCTTCATTACTTAAATTATGTTTTTCAAATAGATATCCACGGTAATTAAGATTATTTCAACCTATTCGAAACGTGATAAAATCATATAAGGCGTTTGTTTTTCTTATATATCCTTAAATAATACTTTCTAGAGTAATTTTGTTGCATTAGTCGTGAATTTTTAGGAAAAATATGTTGACAAAACTCGCATGTAACGCGTATATATTACAAAAGTTGAATAACCATTGTCTATTGTTAAAATTATTGTCATTATAAGTTGGAACAATATTGCCAAATTATAATTAAAAACCGTATAATTAAATGTAAACTTAAACTTTGTTCCTAATTGTCTTCGCCCACATCAAATTTATTATTTCGTAACACGAAGCAAATTTTTACAACATAATAGAAGTCTTCTTTTTTAATTTTCAGGTAACGACAATTAATGGAGCTAAAGTTTTGGACGAAACTCAGGATATTGACATTCCTCAGGGTGTTGCGCACTCTGTTGATAGGGTTATGTTCCCATTACCAGTTGGAGATATTGTTCAAACTCTTCAATCAGACAGAGAGCGGAGATTCACCAGTTTGCTAAGGGCGATTTTTGCTTCTGGGCTAGATGAAATGTTGCAAGGTAAAATAATTTACGAATTTTAACATTTTTATGGGTTGATCGATCTCAAATCTCTTGCTTTAATGTATACTTTGTAGCCTGTCAATTTAAAGTATCTATTAAATCCTAAGAATACGGTGGATGTTCGATCAGTTAACAATGTAATCATTTATATCTGCTAGGAAGGTGTACCTCAGGGGTCAGTACTTGGTCCACTTTCCTTCTTGATATACATAAATTTCGTTTCATATTAAGTATGATTTTTATTTTAGGTTCGAAAATCTTTACCCTCATTGCACCAACGGAAAAGGCCTTCTCATCATTGTCGGTAGAAGACTTAACGAAGTTGGTTACTGATAAAGTGTTGGCCAAAGAGTTAGTTTTGAGGCATCTTATCGTTGGTACTTTGTATACAAACGGAATGAGGTACTACCAAGTAAAAGACAGCGTACTGCCTGACCGACAGCTCACTTTTAGCAAACAAACAGGTAAAACATAAATTATGCTTAATATTCTTTTTTTATTTGAAACAATTTGTAGCATATCTCAAAAAGTATTCTTTTCAAAATATTAAAATTTTGGCAAAATAAATTAGGCAATAATATCTCGAATATTCATATATTTTAAAGTTTTAACTCCTTCCAGTTTCTAGGAAAAAAAATCTGATGTGTCCAACGCATGACTTTCCTATCTAGTTATTAGTGGCTTTTTCCATTTATTTTGTACACATTTTGTTCAGTCCGAAAAATTTTAAAATAATGTTTGGAAAAATTATATAAAAAAAATGAAATTTTGCATATGTTGAAAAAATCGTAGATTTTAACTGTTTTATTGAAAAAATTATAACTTTATTTTTTGAGGGTGATACCCCCTCCATGTCAGTTAGGAGATGGAGGAGTTAAATTTTTTTATGAGATTTTTCATATTTATGGGATAATAAATACACATACATCAATATCTTGACCCGAACTGCCTTAGCCCCAAACCCCAACTGATTATTTCAGTTCTATAACATTCCTATTCTAATTTTTCTCTTTTTTTACAGGTAAAGTCAAAGTGAACAACGTTCTACTATCAACGCAGAATATACCTGCTACAAATGGTGTCATACATGCAATAGATACTCTTCTCTGAACATTTTGACCATCTATTTATTTAGTCTTTCATTATTTCATTTCAACAAATCTGTATTTTAATGAGAGGATTTTAGAACGTCACTCGACATTGTAGGTTTTTACAATTATTGTTGTGTAAAAGATTTTTAGACAGGTCAGTGAGGTAATCAGAAAATAGATAGATCATTCAGATCTCAAGCCACATTCGATATTCAGGATCAAGTCAGATTTCCGCGAGTGCTAATGACATGGTGTTTTTTATTTTATGGTCTTGGATTTACTATATTTGTTGTCTAGTGGCTTGGGCTTTTATGTATGATAAATTCATCAAGCTGTGATTAACTAAGGAAATTTGAAACTAGTAAATAAATTAAATTACGTGTTTAGAAATATGTGAATATTTTTTGTTTTCAAAATGTTTTTGAGCCATTAAAAATTTGTGGATTTTGCGATGTTTTAAGAATGATAAATCTACTACGATTTTAAATTCATTTTATTAGAAATTTCAGTTTTGTATATTTACTAGTAGGGAATTATAAAAAAAAGGAAAAATTAATTATTCACTAATTCAAAATTGACCTAAAAAAGATTACCACACTGCAGTCAAAGTTGTTTTGTTATTTTTTTGTAAATATGTTTACTTTTAATTGCAAGAAAAATCTATGTAGGTGTCATATTTTTACTATCTAAAAAGTCTACATTACTTTACCTAAGTTATGAAATTATTTAATTAGTTTTTAAGTTAAGAATTGTACATTTAATTATTGTAATATATTATTTTTATTACTAGGGTAGTTTTATTGTACCTATATAAAGATAAAAAACAAGTTTTTGGCAAAGATTAGGTATATGAAAAGTGGTATAAAATTACAAACTTGTCAATTATTAGAGGAGAGATGTGTGGTGGTTCTATTTGGACACATTTCTCCAATGTGGAAAATATAAATTAGATCTGCTGTATTCAGTGGTGGTTTGCCCGTAACGGCACTTGGGCACGTGCCCTAGTATTAATAAACAAAAAAAAAAAAAATAATAATAAATAAAAATAACTTACATATTTTATATTTTCCTTAATGCCTATTATTATTTTATCTAATATTCAGCGCAACCCGCGTTGGCACGACACTGGACGACCGGGCGTTGAGCGACGTTCCGAGAATTCCTAAATTAGATGGGCACAGTAAATGTGTGCCTCTGTTGTTTCATCTCTCATTATGATGCGAAAAACAAGGACAACGACAATATCGCTTAGCAAGAGATGAACACATGCGAAGGGTTATAAGTCACAAGCAGGGCGCTGTCCTCATCGTGACGTGCTTTACCCAAGGCACAGATTACCTAGACCAGATACGAATACGAATGTACGCAGCGGCATCTTTACCGACTCCCTCCCAAATAATTTATTTATTGTTATTACGAAACCATTGGAATAGTTAAGAAATAAAACTACAAAAAAAAAATATTATAAAAAAAAAATCAATAATATTTATAAATGGGACAAGATTTTAATTTTTCTTTTGGTTTTGTCTGACTTTTTCGAGGATTTCAAATCTCTGTTTGCATATTTAAGAGTATAAAAAATTCTGAGTCATATAAATAATTTAATGGTGTACATTTTCGCAAATTGTTGGCAAGGATGACCAAATTCTATTTTGCTCATCTCTAAAAGGTATGCGTTGGAAATTCCAGGCTTAGTTGACAAACTATCAAATAGAGATATAAATATTTTTTCTAATTTGAAAATATAAAAGAGAAATTTTTCACTGGGAGATTTTAAATTGCCAAACACCTTTTCTTCAGAGTCGTGTGCTGTAAAATGCGTTAACAATTTAGAATTGTTAAGTAAATTGCATTCTTCTGAGAAATTTACGCAAACTTCGAAAGAGTGGGTATGTAATGATTTTTTGATTAAATAGCCACATACATAGTTAAATGCACTTTGAGTGGTCACATTTAGCTCCCTGTAGTGACATTCAGAAATCGTTATTGCCTCAACTGATTGTTTTGAAATATATTTAATTTTCATTAAGCGGAGAACTTGTTTTCCTAAGGGAAAAACGAATCCCGGGACTCCTTTCCAGTGTGTGCCCCACTGCCGCTAGTGCCCACGAGCCGCCACTGGCTGTATTTATAAACCTTTACAATTGAATAATTTTTACATGTGCAGTTTTTAAATCATAATAATGAGCATAAGTATTGGGCAATACTGTATAGGAAAAAGCAGTGGCGCATATCCAGATTTAAGTCTGGGGGGTACTGGTAATAAAGTTTAAGTCTGTGGAGGAACTAGTGTGGTAATATTGAAGACTTTATTTTTAATAAAACATTTTATTTCTGACAGGGATATTATAAGCTTATATAGTCATAGTTACGCTATCAATAAAGAGGATCATATCTCCCTTGGCACATTATAGATTCTATAATTCCCTCTACCTTTCACAAGTAAAAATAAAATATGCTAATATAAATATGTGTATATATTTATGAAATGAAAACTGAACCATATTTTATTTATTAGCGTCATTACAAATAATAAATGTACAATTTTGAAATGTTCCCTAAAAATTACTACCGCCACTGCAAAAAATTTCTTCTTTTGTATGGCTGGATCTTCTGTTCACTACAGTCGAGGTACCTGTCTCTTCGCCACCGTGGAACTTTTCCAACCTCCGTGTCTTTTTAAGCTACCGAAAAACATACAATATTCCTTACCAATTCTTGAAAATATGCCAGTAATACAGTTTCAGTGGCATCTTTTGGCATAACATTATTCCGTGTCAGCCACTCCAGATACATCTTGTATTTTTTTGGTATATGGCTTCACTTTTCCATGGAATTAATGATTCTCTTGCTTTTTCAGCTTTTTTCAAAATCTGCTCAATTATATTTGGGGTAGAAATAGTTTTGAACGCAAACACGGCTTGATAACAAAGTTCTGTTCATAAACAAGTAACATAGCAACAACCTAGCAACAACAAAACTCTTACAATCAACGGTACCCGATTCAAATATACGGGAAGGTAATAAATTGGTACATTTTTCGTTTTAAAAATGAACAAAATTTTATTGAAATCTGTCAGAAATAAAATTATCTATGTATCACGGGAATTAATGGGCCTTAATTACTGATGGCAAAGATTGTGTCTGGCCCGAGGGACAGCAATTGCCTGAGGTTATAATTCACTTGATACATAAATAACTATTAGTACCTATAAACTTAGGTTTAAAAATTCCTGTGGGGTAATTAGCCCCTCTCACATATATACGCCCCTGGGAAAAGGCAAATTTGACTTATAATTTTGAAAGCAAGGTACTTAAGAACTTAGAAAAGAATGACAATATTCTTAATTTTAGGTTATTTGTCCTTTCCCTTCAAATTTAAAAATTACCTACCTTGAAATATAGTAAGAACAATGGTTCCAAATGAGAACCCCTGAGGGTGTCATATTATATGAACAACTACCACCTATTCTCACCACTTGAACTCCTTTTTTTAAATAGCTTTCAGAACAGTCAACAGCTTTACTACAATCAGAATATATCGGGTATTATCTATAAAAATTAAGGCTCATCAAGTGATATAAACAATTATCATCTAATCTGTATTCCAAGCCAAATTAAAAACATTTTTGAATTGGCATATTCTCCAAACTAATAAATAATTATCTTGTATAATACTTTAAATTGGTGCAAGCCATTCAACATTCAAAACGAATAGGTACCCTAGTAAAAAATCTACTGTCAGCACTATGGTAGTATGTTTGGATTTTATCTATAGTGTATTAAATGATAAGTAAAATACTTTGGCACTTTTCTATGACCTGAGTCATGCTTTTGACAAGGTGGACCATAAACTTTTGTTACTTAAAACTGAAGGTATGTATATACGTGGAAAACTTTGATTCGAGTAAAATCTAATTTATCAAACAGAACACTAGTAACAAGACCTCTCAAATATACGCTAGGAATCCCACAAGGATCAATATTAGGGCCAGTATTTTTTTATATTTGTAAATGATATATATATTTTATAATGAAATATATAAATACTTATGGATAATTAACAATATGAACACCTTGTGCAACACATCTCTTAAGTTTAATAAATTTTGTAGAGAATCTGGCATATCAAAAACTTATTTCATGCATTATTTACCCAAGAACACCACCCCATATCTTGAACCTCATTTAAATATTAATGGTAAATCTATACAAAACAGTGACAATGTTAAATTATTGGAAATTGTATTAGTCCCTAATAGAAATCCATTAAAAACCCCTCTAACCTGCTAAATTTTTATTGGAAGGTATTTTGAAAAATATAGACTAAAGGTGCTTTAAGTAAAAAAAAAAAAACCATTCATAAATATAAAATTTTTTATTTTTTGTATTCACTTACAATTATTAGTTTACTTCTTCTTGGATACACCAACAGTACGTCCACGACGTCCAGTAGTTTTGGTGTGTTGACCTCTTACTCTGAGACCCCAGTAATGTCTCATACCTCTGTGGGCACGGATCTTCTTCATCCTTTCTAAATCTTCACGGAGTTTTGAATCAAGACTCGAGGAAGTCAACTACAAATAAAATTCAATAAATTATCTAATTTAATTAAATAATTATTAGTAACTAATAAAAAGGAATATTACAAGACTGTCGTAAATCATATTATTTCCCAGAAATACTTGAATTGCTTCTCAGATATCACTACAGAAGTGGCTGATCTACACAATCATTTTTTACTGAAAATATTAATGATTTACATATAATTTTGCACAGGCTACCAGCAACTTACTTATTTAGTAAGTCAAGCTGCCGTTTTACAGTGCAGTTGATTGTGAACAACATTAAGAACGTAGTTTTATTACATTCCTTTTAATTAAAAAAAAAATCATTTGAACATACCTGACTATATTTACCATCAATTATATCTTTCTGTCTGTTCAAGAACCAGTCAGGGATTTTGTATTGACGAGGGTTAGACATAATTGTAATAATTTTTTCTACTTCCTCTTCAGAACATTCTCCAGCACGTTTGTCTAAGTTGACATCGGCCTTTTTCAATACAATATTGGAATAACGTCTACCAACACCCTTAATCGCCGTAAGGGCGAATTGCACCTTCCTCTTACCATCGATATTCGTACCAAGGATACGAAGAATGTGTTGGAACTTCTCTGGTATTACCAAAGCCTGAAAATAAAAGCGTTTGTTAGGTTAAGAAAATTTTGTTTACTAGAAATAATCAAAATAATTAATAAAATATAGTTTCTATACTGTTACTTTAGTTCAAATGGAGATTTATTTTAACAAGAAACTTAAATTTACTGAAAGATTAATAATATTTAATGAGATTTTGTTAAAAACTTAAAACTTACCATTTTGACTGACAGATTGACAAAGCAAAAGAAAGTGACATTCAGGAACTTTTTGGTTTGTTACCTAACTGAAATGTCAGTAATTAAGGACTGCCAACTGAATCAACATTTTCTTCTTATTTATTGCTAATGAAGATTTTCCAATATATTCTTTAATTATCTATTTTATTAATTACAAATAATAGTGTTAATTAGCAGTATATAATGTTTACAAACGATTATGTAAGCGTTTTATATTTTCAATAACAAATAATATATTTGAACTACTGAAATCGTTTTTTAGGTCAAATCTCCTTATTTTTTTGACACATTATACGTCAGGCATCGTTCATTTGTTTTTGTCGTTTTCAAAATTTTATTAAATCCATACGTTTTTCAAAAAATATACTTTAATAAATATTAAAACATGAGTTCCCCACTAAACAATAAATTATGTCAGGCAGGAACTACTACAGATCTTGTAAGTAGTGACAAAGTGGTTCAGGATATTTTGAATACATTTACAGATTTGAGACATTATTCTAGAGAAATTGAAAATGAACTCAAAAGTACTGAAAATCAATCTATTAAGGTATACATGAAAGAGAGCGAAAATATAGCCAGTCTTCATAGTCAAATATCCGCTTGTGATCAAATTTTAGCACGAATGGAAAATATGCTTTTGGATTTTCAAAATGATCTAGGTAGTATTAGCTCAGAGATATTAACATTACAGAAGAAGTCTATTTCTATGAGTCAGGAATTAACGAACCGACAGGCAATAAGAGGACAACTCAGCCAATTCATTGATGATATTAAAGTACCTGAAACTTTGATAGTAGGCATAATGGACCTGCATGTAGCAGATAAAGAATTTTTAACACAGCTGCAAATCCTGAACCACAAAATAAGTTTTATCAAAGAACAAAGCTTTAAAGATACGAAATCGTGTCAGGATGTGAAGGATATTCTAGAAAAACTTCGAAATAAGGCTATGTCAAAAATTCGGACTTATTTATTGGAGCAAATTTCAAAATTTCGGAAACCTATGACAAATTATCAAATTCCACAAAATAATTTGTTAAAAAACAAAGGCCATTACGAATTTTTGCTGTCTAATGAAAGAAATATAGCTGAAGAAATTGTCCATGAATATGTGGATACTATGAGTAAAATCTATTACTCTTATTTCAAATCATATGAGAGTAGAATAATGAAATTGCAGTATGAGGAAAATATTACTGCTGATGATTTGATGGGAATAGAGGATACAGCAACGAGAAGCATGTTTAATAAATCTCTTAAACACAAGACAACAGTATTTTCAATTGGAAATAGGGGAGATGTTTTAGCACAACAACTTGAAGCACCTATTATTGTGCCCCATGCTGAAACCAAAAATAAGGTGAGTGGATTTATAAATAAGCTTTAGCCATTATAATTGCTAGATTTCTCATTGTTAATCTTTTAATTATTAGTGCCTTACAACTTTCTCTGGTGGTTGTAGGGTGAATTATGTTCCAGACTTATTGAAAAGGAAAAATGTTGTCAAACTGATGTTTAGGTACTCAAATTTTATTATCTTTTAAATAGCTCCATCTATTGGTACTTAAATAAACGAGAATATCCATAGAAAAAGATTCATTTGAAAATATGGCATACTTGTAAAAAATGATAAATGTCCAAGGATAATTATAAAAGAATGATGAGGGTCCAATTATTCAAGTATAAATCATTAAATATAAATGCAGCGAATTTTTGCTAGTTTTAAATTTTAAACAGCTATTTGTAAGTGCATGAGGTTTTAAGGTAGATTCATATTTTTGTTACTTGCTAAGTACTTACATAACTTACTTGGCAAGTAATTCAAAATTTAAACTTACATTGGACATTTATTATTTCTATATTCATCTTTTTTCCCTGTGCTCTGTTTTTCAGTTGGCTTTAATTCTTTATTTTCATCCGTATATAAATTCACTATACTGTGTATACTTTTTTGAACCATTATTATACACTTTCTTAGTTTGATGTAATTTGTTTTCCACTGACACTTTTATTACCAAAAATTATGATGAATTACAATTATTATAGAGGTACTTCAAAAATGTTTCATAGCTCTAAAAATTCTGTATAGTCCACATTATTTTATTAATATTTTCATATGTACCTACTTTATTTAAGATTAAATAATCTTGACATTACTATTTCATGACCTGTAATTTTTAATGTATTTTTCTGTTTGAAGGAATATTTGCTAAAGTTTCTCGAAATGAAAATGTGTAATTATAGAAATTATTGATTGAATGATAATGGTTGTGATAAGAGGTGCATTAAAAAATGTCAAGGTTTAAAAGCAGTGGCGGTTTGCCCGTAAGGGCACTTGGGCAAAAACAAAAAAAAAACTTACATATTTTATATTTTCCTCAATGCCTATTATTATTTTATCTAATATTCAGCGCAAACCGCGTTGGCACGACACTGGACGACCGGGCGTTGAGCGACGTTCCGAGAATTCCGAAATTAAGTGGAAGATGGGCACAGGGCACAGTAAATGTGTGCCTCTGTTGTTTTCTCTCTTATTATGATGCGAAAAACAAGGACAACGACAATATCGCTTAGCAAGAGATGAACACATGCGATGGATTATACGTCACAAGCGGGGCGCTGTCCTCATCGTGACGTGCTGTACCCATGGCACAGATTACCTAGACCAGATACGAATGTACGCAGCGGCATCTTTACCGGCTCCCTCACAAAGGCGATTGGAATAGTTAAGAAATAAAACTACAAGAAAAATAACTTTTTTTTATAAAGCAGTCAAAAATATGATGAAAAAAATCAATAATATTTATAAATGGGACGTTAAAACTGTGTGTAGTTTATTTCCAAACGTAAACAGCTTAAAATTAAAAAACGAACTGTCCATGCTTTACACCCGAGATGACTTTGTTCAACACAATGGGGCCGTACCGTTATTACAAATGTTTTTTAAGAACAATTTGACAATTACATTTTCGGAATCTGTGGAGCTGCTAACTATTCTGTGTACAATTCCCATGACCACAGTGGAGAGTGAAAGATGTTTTTCGACACTAAAACGTATTAAAACATTTTTAAGGAACACTGTGTGCCAAGATAGATTGTGCGCGTTAGCCATGTTATCCATCGAAAAAAAAACTTATTCAGTCCATTCCGAATTTTAATAATCTGGTCATCGCTCACTTCGCTAGCCAAAAATCCAGAAGAATGAACTTCAACTAAGAAATAGTATACAACTGCAGCGGTACCTAGCAGTTAGTCTTCAATTTTGTAATATTTAATTTGTTTTGAAATATATTTAATTTTCATTAAGCGGAGAACTTGTTTTCCACTGCCGCTAGTGCTCACGAGCCGCCACTGTTTAAAAGCCTTTGATGTAAAAAACTAATGCAAAAAATGTTTACAATATTTTTAATAGGTACAAAATTTAACAAATCTAATAAAAAAACTTGAATGTATACAATAAAACACTAACAAACAAAATACAAAATTAACAATGTAATTATATAAAAAAAAACATATTTATATTATAATATTTTTATTACATTAAAATAAAATTAAAAATAAACAAAAAAATGTTATTTGTAATAAAAATCATAGACCAATTATTTTTTACAAAACGATACTTACCTATATATATTTTATTTTTTTCTGTGGGTAATGTTTGTTTCTCAAATTTCCTTTTCTTTTCAGTTACACCCAAATCCTTGTTATTTGTATTTATAGATATCCCAAAATTTTTTCAAACAAAATAAAAAATATCTTATCTGAAATAGATGTATCATAAATGACAAACTAACCCATAAAAGTATTGTTATCCAAATTAAACATTTGACTCTTGCTTCGTGCTCGTGGTCTTAGCTTTTTGCGCCGTAAGTAAAATTCAAATTGTGCTCCGAAACCCAAAGTAATAATATGAGGTCAGGCGAGAGCTGACGAGAGCTGGGAGCCATTTGACATTTACGGTATGCTGTGAGGTGTGTGTATATTTTATCAAAACATAGTGATGACATTACTATTTTACAATGGCTGCGTTCATCCGCGCCATTTCAAGGAGCGCTACAAAAGTAGCGATCACTTACGCTACCTGATCGATCTTTATGCACGGATGAACCATGTTTAAAAGTGACATTTGATTTTGGTTTATTCATTTTACTTTTGAGTTGAATGTCTCTGGTTGAAGATTTGTTTGTTTATTTTTCAATTGCTAATATGCTAATATAACCCTACTAGTCACCAAGCAAACCGTGGACGTAAGTGCGTAAGACAGATCAGTGATCACCGATCAGACGTAAATAAAATGCGCTACTTTTAATGGCGGCCGCTCCTTGAGCGAAATGTCAAAATACACCGTTCATACGTGCCACTCGAGAGCGCTACCAGATCGATCACGTAGCATGTGGCGCGGATGAACGCTGCCATTGTCTTTCCTACAAAATTGGAGTTGTGCAAATGGGCGTTGAAAAAATAAAATATTAATTTTACATTGATGTTTTGTTTACAGAAGAGTAGGTATTTATAAAACATTAAATCTGCCACATTTTACATAATTACAAACACAGTTCAAAGATAAATGCTTATTTTATTTTTATTCCTAAATGATCTCCCACATGGGATCTTCTAATTATTGCAATAAAATGTTCTACACTGTGCTTCAAAGAAAACAGGTCAACCAAAAAATTGAATTATCCATATTTTTAAATTTCTTATTTGTAAATTAAGTAAAACGGTTAATATAAAAAATACCGAAGAGCTGTTCACATTGTAACATTGTTGGATAATGGAAAATATGTATGCTAAAAGACAGCTTTGTTATGTTTGCTATATTGCGAAACCGAACTCAACCTCTAGGATGCTCCAAAGCGGAATTTAGAAAGTTCATTGAACAGTAGACAGCATTTCTACTGTTAGATAATGGTTGAGGAAACGTGGGTTGACATGTTGCACTCCACCTACAGGACCCTTGCTTACTGCAGATCACAAAAGACACAGACTTGCTTTTGCCCGCGAACACATCAATTGGACAGTGAACAACTGTTCACGGATGAGTGTAGAATGTGTATTTATGGAAAAAAAATGGCCGAAAAAAGGTCTACAGCTATATGTATAAGAGCTACACTCAATCATCTTGGGTTGCTTTTGGGGGCGGCACAGTAATGTTTTGGATTTTGGACATGAATTTCTTTTGAGGCACACACGGATCTAATTCTAATTGACAGACGCATTAACAGTATGAAGAGCATTTCATTTTCTGCTAATGTATGATAAAAGCATAACCACACACGGCACATATCCTAGTACCTTGAAGAGGTTGGTATTCCAAAAATGGACTGGCCTGCCCAAAGCCCAGGTCTTAATCCGATTGAGCATATTTGGGATAGCTCAAAAGGTGTCTTAAGATTTTGCATACCTGCTCCAACAACACATGAAGAACTCCGATTGGTCCTTATTGAGGAAGGTACAAATTTTTCCCAAGGAATTGAGAACGTGCTGATTGCTATGCCAAACACCTAATGGTCAGATCTTGAAGTTGGATACAAGTTAATGTTGAAACATGGAACACCCTATCTATCTCATGGTCAAACGGGTATTTTATTAACTAAGTACCTCTGGTAGATTTCTTAGAACTATGTTCATTTTAGGTCCATATTTTTATTTATAATAATATTTATAGGTCGTAAAAAATAATTCAAATGTATATTATCAAATTACATTTAATTTTAAAATTAATAAAAGATTGAAATAAAATGTTACTAAATACCTATATAACCTCTATTTTTATGTCACTGTCAATGGAACGCAAATTACGTCATCTCTAATATATGGTATGCGCTGGTTCAGTGTGATGTCATTTTGGTTCCAATGACATTTAATTCTAACCAAACTTTTAACAAAAACATCAATAAATTTGACATATACGTTTTTACTGTTATTAGTTTATTTATAAATATTGTTTACAGGTCATAAAAAATAGTTTAAAGGTATGTAATTGGTAACTAAACGATTGTATATTTGTTGCATGTTATCTACTTACTTTAGGAATATATTTATAAAAGTGAAAAAACGATATAATTTAGGTAAACAAAACGAACAAAACGCACTCAAAAAATCTACTGTCACTTTAATTGTCAGTGAAACCATAATTACATCATCACTGAACTAGCGTATTGATGCCTCCAGGCCATAAAGGTTAGGTAATTCAGTTAACTTTCTATAGTTTTCAGTATTTTGGAAGAAATCAACACTATTATGAATATTTGAAACTGTCTCAGCCTTTTCCTGTAAAATAAATTTTGTTACAGTTTCCATTTGAATCTTTATTCAGAAGTGTCCAATATGCACTTGTAGACAATGCTTGCAGAGAGTACTTATTTGTTAGTGAATACTTTATGGTTAAAAATCAAGCTTCTCTAGATTTGTTTAACAAAATAATGGACAAAACACTAATTCTACTTCAGGTATGTTTAAACTTAATCAAAAAAACCTTTGTTCAATTAAACCTCATTTGTTTTTAGAAAAACCTTAAAACCTACATTTCTTCATGTTACGATTCAATTTCTTTGTTTTTGTGTTACCATTTGGTATTAAGATACAAAATAATGTGTCACAAACGTTGTGTACCAGCCCTGGACCTGCATTGGGATATTCTGGAAAATTTTTTGCTTCCCAGATTTGAACATATTGTCCAATTGAACATCAAGAGTATCAGGGACTGCGACGTTACTAAATTCAACCTCGAATTGGGTCCCCATTATGTAAGAAATTTATTTAATTTCGATATTTTTTAGGCTAGCCAAGTTGATATTATTTTTTATCCTAGATTGCAAGAAGATATGCAGAATTTAGCGCTGCCCTAGTGAGCATTAGCGAAAACTTCCCTAATGAATTGGTCAACAAACTTTTAGCAGAACTTCAAGAAGAAGTGGAAATGTTCATTCTTCGCATGGCAGGAGCTTTTACTGATCGCAAAGACCAATTGATTTTCCTTATTAATAATTACGACATGATTTTGAGCATAATAATGGAGAGAACCCGAGACAATTCCAAAGAAGCGGAAGTGTTTAAATCGAGATTAGGATCAAAAAGTGGAGAATATGCAGAGCAGATATTATTCCCACATTTTGGAGAGTTGATACAATATGTTAAAGAATGCGAGCATTATTTTGAAAACGCAAAAGTCAAAGAACTGAAAGCTTTAGAACCCAAATCGGCAGATATATCCCAAAATTTCAACAACAATTGGAAGAAATCTCTAGAAGATCTGAATCGTGAAGTGCTACTATCGTTTCCTAATTTAGTAACCGGGTCGAGCCTTCTTCAATTAGCTCTTACCCAACTAGTGCAATACTACCACAGGTTCCACAAACTTTTAACCCCACCTGTACGATCTCAACTCGTTAATATTCATCTCATTATGGTTGAAATGAAGAAATATAAGACTTCGTTTTAAAATTTACAGTATACTGTATTTAATACCGATACTATCTTATTGAATTTGTTTTATTTTTTATATTGAAATATTTATTTAATATATTTATGGGATGAACCACATTTAAGGCTTATTTCAAAAAAGTAACCTAATTGCAAATAATCGGCTGATGTTACTTTACAGTAATGTCACTGCTGATATTCTTAGCGTTTGGAAACTGTTGCTCTTATTTTGTATGACATATGGTTTTCTTTTATTTATTTTATTTTACTTTTTGGTCACATTTGAGTAAAGTTGCCACACGTCCCGTTTTTAACAGGACTGCCAGATGTCTCGATTTTAACGGAAGAGTCTCGATATCGGAGGTTTTGTCCCGTTTCCGAGGATCTATACGTCGGGATGCTAATTGTACCGATTTCACATGGGTAAATTATTTATTCAGGAATTGGGAATAGTAGGAAATTCTTTTAAAAGTAAGAAAAAAATTAAAAAAAATTTTGTCACCTATTTTTTTATTTATTTTTTTTTCACCCTAAAGGCATCCCATTCTCCCTCAATCAGGCTTGGGTCCAGCCACTGGTTCCACTCAATCAGGCTTGGGGCCCAGCCTGCTTTTCATCCTCTTGGAGTTCGTATGGCGGCACTGAAGTGCAGGTGACCTGTTGTACCACCATTTGGATGCCCTACTTCTTCCCATTCGTGATACATTCATTCATCGTGATTAATTCCACGTCGTCGATGGTTGACCGCTAATCGGCTAAGTCGGTGGACCATGTCCAGCCATCACACATCCAAGACGTGACCGGATTAATTACTGCTTAGCTGTTGCGAGAATGTGGATGCACTCTAATTTTGCGGCTAGTCGGGTCTATTCTGTAACGATTCCTTTATCTGTTAAAATATTGGCGGCCTTTAAAAGTATTTTCGTATTCGCTAATTTACTTCTGTCATTATTTAAAAGGATTTCTTTAAGATAGTCATCTAATGGAGTCTATTCTGTAACAATTCCTTTATATTTTAACGGCCTTTAAAAATATTTTCTTCTTTAATTCTGTCATTATTTAAACGGATCTTTAAAATACATTAGAGGACTATCTTAAAGAAATGTGTTTAAATAATGACAGAAGTAAATTAGCGAATACGAAAATATTTTTAAAGGCCGCCAATGTTTCAACGGATAAAGGAATTGTTACAGAATAGACCCCAGTCTCTCCGGTATTTATGACATACCTATTCAATCATTTATTCATCTTATTAAAATTTAATTAGGTTTTTACGTTGAGAATATTATGTGGAAGTTATATACCAATGAATTTTATTTTGCATTATTTATTTTGTTAAATTTTATGAGCAGTTTTAAGGTGAGAATACATTGGGTAATCGCGGTCCCACCGCTTCTCGGTCTTTGCTGGTGCAGTCTCCCGAGATTATATGGAAAAGAAAGCAGGAGAATGCAGTGCGAGCGAGAACACCAAGTGGAAATGCATGCTTTATAAAATATGGGAAAGAAGTTAGCGCGTTCGAGACTAGTACAGACCAAGTTGCGAGACCGCGATTGCCTAATGCGTTCTCACCATTATAATTTTGTGAATTATATATTTTACCTTTAAAAAAGAGCGTCCCGATTTTTATTAAAATTCCTGATTTTTTAACAGATTTTTCATTGGCATACCTACCTGTTATATTTTACTAATGATTAAGTTAAATAATTATTTAGTTACCAAGTGATTACCGATAAACACAATGCGTGAGAATCAGCCGCCAACAGCCAGAGCTGACCACACTAGACACTCAAGGCAACTCAAATAGTTTTGCCTGGAGAAGTGCCGGCGGTACTTTGCTACCGCAACAGTTCCCCGCATTCCCCGCTCTTGACTGCCGATGTTCTCTACATTACTACAATTCATGGTATAAAAAATAGAAGGTAGGATATCAACTGTGTCAAAAATAGGACGACCACGCGCATGACGTCATCCGTAGAGTTTGTATAGGCGGGAATTTAAAGATACTGTCGAAGTATGAGGAAACTAAATGCTATTTACAGAAATTTCATAAATATTAAAGGATAATATTTTAAAAATGACATCAAATATCTAAGGATATTATTATGGGATAGTTAAGGAAAGAGCTATAAAGGAAAATAAACGCAAATACATACATGAAAGAAATATTTATTTGAAGTATCAGTTTTTTTTAATGATTTATTTTTGTTATATAAATTAAAATGAAGGTTTTAATTTAGAAGAACATTCGACGTCTAAAGAACAGTTTCTATAACCAGGATAATGAGAGGGTATCTTCGCAACTCAGAATTTCTCAACTGGGGACCCTGGGTTAAAATTTCGCATCTTGGGACTATTTACCTGATTAAAATTCGCAACTGTTGACTGAGAAAATATTTATTTGAAGTATCAGTTTTTTTTAATGATTTATTTTTGTTATATAAATTAAAATGAAGGTTTTAATTTAGAAGAACATTCGACGTCTAAAGAACAGTTTCTATAACCAGGATAATGAGAGGGTATCTTCGCAACTCAGAATTTCTCAACTGGGGACCCTGGGTTAAAATTTCGCATCTTGGGACTATTTACCTGATTAAAATTCGCAACTGTTGACTCATTTATCTGCAATATATTACCCAATTGAATATACTTAACGACTTATTTTATGAATAAGATGGGATTTATGTATAAGTACGATAACAAAAACAGGTTTTTAAAAAATATTTTTCATATAATATAATGCAAGGCATAAAAATAAATGTACCGAATACAAATAACTGCTACATGGTGGGTGTACATACAAAATTAAAATGAAATGTCACTGCATTTTCCTGGATCTAGTCACTGACAGTTTTTTAATTCTTTCATCAAGTACAACATGCCGAAATTTTATTCAACTGATAAATGTAGCGAATTAATAATCTTGGAAATAGTCAACCCCCAGGTACTTCCGTGGTACTTTTAGTGAGCGAATCCTTCTTCTGATGTTAGATGTTATTAATTTTTAAGTCAAATAATTATTTAGTTACCAAGTGATTACCGATAGAACACAATGCATGAGAATCAGCCGCCAACACCCACAGCTGACCACACACTCGACACTCAAGGCGACTCAAATCGTTCTGCCTAGCAACAGTTCCTCGCACTCCCCGCTCTTGACTACCGATGTTTTCTACATTACTACAATCACACTAAAATTTGTTTACCTGCTAACATACCCGATTTTTAGATGTTACAATCTGGTAACCCTACACATCTGAATTATTTTCCTTTTATGTTGTCAGTTGTTGTTCATTACATGCATATGCTGAATCGCAATGTGTTTAATTGTTTCAATTAAATTCATAATAATTTGGGAAACATCCGTTAGCATAGATATTTTTTTCTTAAAAAATATCGAGGTCAGATCCCATATATGCAAGGCACTGTTACATCTGAAAATTATTTTTGTTTTAAAAATATGCACTTTTATTAACTGTCCCTGCATACTAAAAATTACTGAAATATCTCGAGCGGTTTCGAAAATATTAAATGTCTTCCTTTTTCTTTCCTAAAACTTTAGCTTAGCACCCTGTATTTTCGAAACTGAACATTTTTGGAACTGTTTATAAAGCATATATTATTATCATTAATTTTTCATGTCGCCGACAACTTAAATATTCGCATTCCATTAAGGAACACCCTGTATATTTTAGTGGAAAGTGCAGGGATATTTCTTTTTAAATTGTTTATGCTGGCATCACATTTGTATTGTAACTATTTTAACCTGAATATTCTATTAACTCGGGCCACATTCCATTTGACTTGTTCATTTGAACTACCATTTTGATTTTGACATCGACGTCACATTTTTTTGTTATATGTTTTTGTATGCCATAGCAGTATTTAAAAGATCGATAAAATTTGACGATAACAACGATAAGCAAGAAGTCAACAATTTAAAGTTAGTTCGATATCGTACAATAAAGTCGACATGGATTTTAACGTTAAAAAAATGGTAAAAGATGCCGGAGCAGCGTTAAGTAGAGCAATTCAGGTAAATATTACTTAATTACAACCATATTTATCATCGATTGACGAATTCGGTATTTTTAGCTAACAGAAGAAAAGTTGGGCACAGCCGAAAAAACTGAATTAGATGGACATTTCGAAAACCTTTGGACTAGAGCTGAGAATACGAAAAATTATACTGAAAGAATTGTAAAAAATACTGAAGCTGTTTTAATACCCAACCCAGGGAACAGAGTTGAAGATTTTATATATGAAAAAATCGAAAAGAAACGGCCTTCAAGATTGACCAATTTAGAGTATTTAGGAGTGGATTTTGTAGAAGCTGGCAATGCCTTGGGGCCTGGAACAGTTTATGGCAGTTCTTTGATTAAAGTAGGTCAATGGGAACAGAAATTGGGACAAACAGAGAGGGATTTCATTGGATCAGCAGGAATGTGCTTTACTCAACCTTTAAAGAAGTTTTTAGAGACTGAAATGAAAACTATTCTCAAAGAAAAGAATCTGCTTGAACTCAAAAGGTCTTATTGTTAATTTATTCTTTTTAAATTTATATATAGAGGTATATATTTTTTTAGATTGGATTTGGATGCTTGCAAAAACAGAGTTAGAAAAGCAAGGAGTATGCTAGGACAACCTGCTGTAAGTCTTCATATTTAACTTACAATTTTTTAATATTACCGTTAAAATTATTAAACTAAAGCCTAATCAAATGTTATTGACAATATTTTTTTTACGGTTTATCTTACAGGTTTATCTTATGTAAACACAAAATATTTTTAATAATTTTGTGAAAATATTTGTACCTACAGGGAATGGGTACACAAATATTTTTAAAGTTGCTGAAATATTTGTAATACATTTTTCTTACTGTTAAATGTGTAACAGGTGAGCTGAGTCATCAGATCACATAGTCTGAGTCAACTGTTATCAATTAACACAATTTCTTTAATTTGATTCAAGATATTATTTAAGATTCCTTTTAGAATAGAAAAATTATTACTCATACCTACATTGTTTTTTAATACTAATTCTAATTTAAATATTTCAAAAAATGTTAAAAAACTGATAATCAACTTTTTTAATATTCATGCAATCAGGGAAAGGATGGTATTTCTCCAGAACAGGCTTTAGAACAGGTATATTAAATGACAAAAAGATATTAAGTGGTTTCTATTTATACTTTTATTTTATTTTAGAAACAAATATACGAAAATGTAAATACACAGATAAGTTTAAAACAAGTAACATTATACACACTACACCTCATTTTATTTCTACATCTTTTCATTTTGTATTCAAATTTTTTATGTGGCTTTGTTTTTCTTATTTTTAAGTGGTGCTTTCACCCTGAAACCCTGAAAGTGTCGTTGATACTGTAATATCTAGTATTTTAGTATGTATTTATAAATCCTTAACACGTTGACTGCCACAGTAATTTTTAGGATTCATGTCGAAAAAGCCAATTAAATTTAAACATATATTATTAACAATCATCAAAAAGTGTTGAGAATGTGTTTATCTCGGTTGGCCTTTGTAATAGAAAGTTACTTCGTACACAGACAATTTGACTCAACATAACTTTGTATTCAATGATTACAATAAGCTCTTAGAGTTGATGTATTATAAACATTTTTGTTTGGTTGAAACATCTTTAGAACCTTTAGTAGAAGAAGACAGATATCATCCAGCTTTAGAAATCACTTGTAGAATAAACGAAAAAAAGCAATATAAGAAAAATCTTGAATCTTCTTGCACGAATTGCTATAATTTTCGTAAAGCAAATTTTCTGCTTTTGTATGAAAAGTTATCTACTATGAATTGGGATTTTTTGGAGGTTTTCTATGATGCTGAAGATGCCTGCACATACTTTTATGGTAAATTATACAATATATTAGATCAGTGTATACCTAAATATACTGTAAGTAATAAGAGAAAATACTCTCTGTGGTTTAATGGTTCTATTATTAAGAAACTTCAGAAAAAGTCTAAACTTCATCGCTTATATTAGAATGAGAATAATATTCAAGCTCTTCAAGAATTTAAGCTCATCAGAGCTGAAATTAAAACTTGTGTATCTGAAGCTTATAAAAATTACATAGCAAATCTTGAATCTGAAATCTCAGCAAATTCAAATAAATTTTGGGCATATGTTAATAATAAACAATACCAAGGTAAAGTTGCAAGAACCTTGAGTTTTGAAAATAAAATATTAAATAATCCAACAGAAATAGTAGAAAACTTTGCGGAATATTTTGGCCATTCTTATGTCGCTTCCAAGGGTTCAAATATATCATTAAAGGACGTCCAGTCATCTCAGCTTCTTATAACTCATTTTTCTGAAACCCAGGTCCAGGATGCTTAAAAAACATTAAACCTAAATGTACCACAGGACCAGATCATATTCCTGCGTTCATTTTAAAAGACTGTTCAGCAATATTAGCTCGCCCTCTTACTATTTTGTAAAAATATCTGCCTTAAATCCTGTACAATTCCTTCGATGTAAAAATGTTCTAAAGTCTCCCCAATTTTTAAAAAAGGTGAACGAACTGATATCAAAAATTATAGGCTAATTTCTATCATTTGCAATTTCTGCAAAATTCTCGAAATATTACTGGAACGTAGTATTTATCAACATGTTTGTAACGCAATCACAGCTCAGCAACATGGTTTTGTTAAAGGGCGTTCCCCAGTAACAAATCTTTCTGTCATTACACAGCAAATAGCTGCAAATATAGGGTCCAAACTGACGTCATCTATGCGGATATGACAAAAGCATTTGATAGAGTTGATCATAATATTATGATATAGAAACTCTGCTTATTTGGTCTTTCTAATAGTTTGATTGCACTTTTCAATTGTATCTCTCTGGAAGAACGCAATATGTTCAATTAAATGGATTCAAGTCTAACAAATATTACGCCACCTCTGGTATACCGCAAGGTTCAAATTTGGGTCCGCTGTTATTTAATATTTTTATCAACGACATTGGTGACACTATAAATTATTTGCTGTATGCTGATGACTTAAAAATATATTCAGCTATTGAAAATATTTCTGACTGAACGGTTGTTGGAAAATTTGAACAAAGTTGTTGAATAGTTCAACAAAAATGGCCTTACACTGAATCCCGTCAAATGTAACATAATGTCAACACATTAGAAGCGCATCCAATTATATTCGATTATGTCCTTAATGGACGTTTGCTTTCTAGACCCAACAATTTTATGTATTTAGTATACCCAGTATTATCGTTCAAATACCACATAGATAACATTTAAACAGCAGCAAACCGTATGTATGGATTCATAGTACGAGTGGGCTGTGATTTTAAAAACACAGATTATATTAAATCATTGTATTTCTCATTTGTTCGATCTAACTTCGAATATGCCTCGTTTATTTGGGATCCTTATTATCAAATACACATTTGTCGGATAGAGTCTATCCAAAGGCGTTTCCTTAAATATTTAAGTTTTCGAGCAGACCAAATTTATCCACTGATTGGTATTACCTACTCAAAATGCTTTACTGACTGACACAGATTGACCAGTCTCGACGTAAGACGAAAGTATTTCTCCATAATTACCCTCTACAAAGTTGTTAATTTTAAAATAAATTGTGAAGCTCTTTTACATATGCTTAATTATAGAATCCCCCACGCAACCTTTCGAAACACCGAATCATTTTAAATTGCAACTCCTCGGACAAACGTTCTGAAGTTTTCACCTGTATACCGGGTGTTCAAATTAAAGCGTTATAGCTATATACCGCTTTTTATTAAAAAAAAAAACGTTTCAGACGAAAGTTTTATAGTTTTGTAGAGAAAAACTTTTTCCTAAAATCGTTTCTTATAGCTAACCATAATATGGCCAACTTTTTTTTCGCGCAGCAACATTTTCAAGTAGCTGTTACTCAAAAAGTAAAAGTCCAATAAAAAAATATTTCCCTCAAAAGTTTCTTATTTTTTTATGTACTTTAAGAATATGTAAGAAAAAATGGGATTCCCATTTAAAAAAACAAAGTTCACCTCGATATGGCCATATTATGGTCAGCTATAAAAAAATGAATTTAGCCAAAATATTTCCCACAAAAAACCATAAAACTTTTGTCTGAAACTTTTTTTCTAAAATGCATATTTTCGCCGGTATTTAACTGTAACACTTTAATATGAACACCCGGTATAACATGTGTAATAATTATAATAATATTAGTGAACAGTTGGATATGTTTAACATAAAAACACATTGTTTAAAATAATTTAGAATTTATTTACTGTAATTTTAGTTTGATTATCTTTATGCTTTTGGTTAAACATGTTTTCTTCCAAATGTCTATAACTGAGTTTAACCTGTTGAACAATGTATAAATAAATAAATAAATAAATAAATAAATAAATTTGACCTGATGTCGCCTTATGACACCTGAATCAGAGATATATACATCTCAATTCGTTAGTAGTAAACCACAAACAATAAAAATGCTACACGAGCATTTTTGATTTTGAATACATTTTTGATTACATTATATTTTTTGTTCATGTATTATTAAATTTTCTGGTGACATAAACCGGCTTTGATTTTGTGTCCTCTTTCCAGAAGCTACCTAATTCATATTCTGATATACTATTAATTTCATTGTAGCTGCACGAATATGGCAAGTAAACAAACCTACGAGATAAGTCGTTATCGGCGTCGTAGCCAAGAAAGCAAACTATGCATTAACTCGTAGTTGGCAGTCAACGTGTTAAATAAGTTTTAAATGAAATACTTTCTGCTGATAAATATATATTGATGGTGCTACTATAAATGTAAACTATAGATTGTTTTAGTCTTTTTCACTTATTTCATACGCATAGGCATAAAACATGTGTAAATAATTGTTTGTCACTTGTGATCTACATTCTACTATTTATACCAATAATTATTATACTTCTATGCCTGAGACCCTATATATTTAGATCAACCAAGAAAGTTTAGGAATTCTTCTATGTACACAACGTACAACCACATTGTAATGCTTCCAGGTTAGGTTGCAAAGCAAAGGTTAGGTTGAAAAACCGAGGGTGAGCTATGCTAATGTTTAGTATAACTCACTCAGCTGACACCTCACCTTTTTTTACTACATTAATAAATATGTAATTTTAGAATATTTTAAATATATTTTAATTTTGTTTTACGATATGAAAATAGAGACCTTATTATTACTTAATGTAGATACACGATATTCAAAGTCTTAAACATTTTAAATAATCCATTGTAAGGTATGAGACAAAATCCTGGACACTTCTGGGGTTAATTATATTATTGCTTTCTGTGTACACTCTTTTTTTATTTTTATTGCTTTTGCTAGATGTTATTATCTCTAAAATATTCAACAATTTCCCTATTTAAAATTGTGTTTTTTTTTCAAGGCCGAAAGGGAACTAAGGATTGCCCAGTCAGAGTTTGACAGACAAGCAGAGATTACAAAATTACTCTTAGAAGGAGTGAGTAGCAGCCACGCTGCTCATTTAAGATATTTACATGAATTTGTAGAGACACAGGCGAGGTATTATTCTCAATGTACAACCATCATGACAGATCTACAGCGAGAACTGGCAAGGTAGGGATCTGTAATGGAAGTTTGTAATTTGTTTAATAGGTATATAATAAAATATTCTCTACCACACTAATATGTACTATAGCTGCCCAAAGTATTTTTTTAACAAATATTTAATTTAAATTTAAATCATAATATTTATAGTATTTTCTCTAATCATTTTCTTTGTCAATATTTATCATATAATTTGAATATGAAAGCACAAAAAATAATTATAGTTACATTATTAAGATGTGTTAATTATATTATTTGAAATTTGCAACTAATTTCCATTGTATTTTTAATATAATCTTTAATTGTCCTCCAATATACATGTTTTTTTTTAATGGTTGATCTCATTCTTCCTTGTATAGTTGTCTCTTGTTTGGCTGATTGGTTTGTTTGTTTGATATTTCATCAGGTGCTGGCCTTTAATGTTCAAATATTAACATATTATGACTTTCTAGGTAAATGTAAACAATTATTTGCTTTAACTCGTATTTTTATTAAGATTTGAGAGTATTCTTCTATTGCTAAGATTAAAACAAGAATATTCTCCAAAGATATAGGCTATGTAAATTATCCTACAGGATAAAGCCCAGAAAAGAAAAAAAGAAATATTACAGGTAATGTGGTGTACAAAACGATCTTATTCTAGCATCTAGTCCCTGGAAGTTAATTTAATTTGTTAATGATTTAAAGAAACAACTTCATTTATTTGAATTTTATTAATAGTATCGTATCAAAGTGTGATTGATAAATCACAGAATCTTCCAACTCTATATTTCCTCTGAATTGACGTTGACATTTCTAGCTTTGTGAATTTGCACTTTGGTATGTATTTAAAAATGCTTTGTAGATATAGATGAGAGTCTTAGGTCACTTAGGTCTCCATGTATGTTTTAGCATGATATCTTAAATGTTTCAATGAATAAAACGTTTATGGCACTTGTCACAAGCACAATTAAAACTCTTCTTTTTAATTGCAAAGGTGCCAGATAATCTCTTTTTTAAGGATCAAATTTCTTATTATGCTTTCTAAATTACATACTAATATTACTGTATTTTGCTGTGTTCTTCAACATTTATAAGGATGATTCTATTCTAATATAAAATATACAGTCTTCAACAATACATGTATCTCTCGTGACTAAACTGATATCATTACTTGGCTAAAAGTAACTTCAGCAGTGGGATTCTCATCTTTCGATACGTGTCGTATCGAGACGCCTATCTTAATACGACAGACTGCTATTCTTATTCTATTTGATTCGTAATGTGTCGAGATCGCACACAAGAATCCCTATGCAGTAGTAACCTTAAAACAATGTCATTGATCTATTTGACAGAACTGATGCTTAAGTTGTCATAAAAGTAATTTAAAAGGATTATTTTCATTAAATTTCTTGTTTTACCAGGTTAAGTGCGACATGGGTATTGTTTAAGACCAATTATTATTGTCTTAAAAGCACAAACAAAATAATATTTGTACTGTGATATTTCAATGTTATACCATGTTATTTCAAATGTCAACAGCTGACAACCGTCGTTACGGTGAGCATGTCATGTATGAAGATTGTACGTGTCCAACCAGGGGCTAGTAGCTAGTAAATAATTGAACTTTTATGGGCGGAAGTACTTTAAATAATTGAATACAGGATGGAATTTAATTGAAATTAACATGTTATTCTTTTAGTAATATACATTTATAATAATAAAGGAGCGTATTAGGTTATCGCAGTCCCATGGCATCGCGGGCTGTGCTAGTTTCGATGTCATCGCGGTTTCCCGCGATTCTTTGAAAAATGTAGGAGGAAAACGCGATGCGAGCGAGCACAGCTCAAGAACACCAAGTGGAAATGCATGGGTTATACAATATGATAAAGAAATTCACTGTGCGCATAGCCTGCGATTGGATGGGGCCGCGATTGCCTAAAACGTTCCCTCCTTAAGTATTCAATCAATTGATGTAAAATCTTCATCTCTTATTTGACCAAAATAAAAAGTGGAGCATGGTGATCAACCATTGTTATAACCCAAATTCTAGCACGTTCAACAACTTATCTTCCTTCTCTTATTATTTTTTACGTTTTCTTCTTAAACATTTTTGGCACCATGTTTCAGCATGTCAAAACCGGGTCCAGTGTTACGTCTAAACAGCGAAGATCTAGAAAGCTTAGCTCCCAAACAAAATAACGATTCCGAAAACGCATTTGACACTTTCACACCTATTAATTTGACTTATTCCAATGAAACTAATGATACCAATGTCACAGCTGTTTAATTTTCAATTTAAGCTTTTGTTTTCTAGATACTATCAAATTTTGTTTTGTTTTGCATAGTTTTAATTCATTTTTGGGTTTGTTTAGTGTGGTATCCGAATGGAAACGTTTGTTCAATCAATACATTTTAACGGACTATACAAAGTAGTACAAGTAAACAATATAGAAGTTCTATCAAAGCAATATTTGTTAGAAATACATAATAGTTTTGATTTTTATGACGAATTTATCTATGAAAACTAAACTGTTCAAATATCTGTTGATTCTTAGTGAAAAATGAAAATAAAACAAAAGCACCCTAAAAAACTTAGATAGAAAATGTAGGAAAACTGGCACATTCTTGAAAATACATGACATGACAGTTGAGTATAGTTATAGTTGTGAAAACACTCCAAGTTACAAAAAATTACTAAAAAATGCAGTTGGTTTCGTAGCCTTTTAAATGTCAAAGTTGAATCTAAAAAAAAATATAAACATGTAAGTATAGCTTAAAATAGTAATATAAATGTTTTTAGAACCAAAAAAATCGTAAAAATAAAATCTTTCACAAATAAAATATTGTAAGCCTTAGTCAGAGGATTTCATTAAGAATCAAATGTTATTTGGACTGCCTAGTTTTCAAATAAAAGCAATGTATCATAATCTGCATGTATCACTAAAACTAACTAATTATTTTTTAAATTTAACCTATGGTGAAAATTTTAGGATAGAGAACCTTATAAAATAAAATTATGATAAACCTTGTCGATTCTAACGTATGGAGTTCAAATGGTATCGAGTAAAAAATAAAGGGTAGTGTATGGGAATTGGGCAGTTTTCATACAACAAAAATTATTGAAATTTCTTAAGGTCTAGGCTGCCCAGTGAAGAATCCAGATGCATAAATTTCCTAAAAAAAATTTAAAACAATAAAACGTAACTAGGGTGGTCAATCACTTACCATTTAGGCGTGGAAGTGGAAGATGATCCTCTCTCCGTCCATGTAATATTGTCCGTGTTGGTTCGAAATTAAAGGTTGCTCATGTTCGCTATAGGCTAATTTTATTAGTCAATTATAATTTATAATTATTGTGGATCAAAGGATTTCATATAACGAAGGTTGAAAAAATAAATACTATTTCCAATTTTTTTTTATTGATAATACTAAAGCTCGTCAATAGCTACTAAACAAAATAAAAGAAAAAAAGAAAATCGGTACACAAACAGGAAGAGAAAATAGTACTGAATCATTTTGTCTTTGTCTATGTATAGATAAATTAAAATTGCAAATGGAACATACTTTACCCGTATCTAGTTTTGATTAACATTTTATAAAAAGTAAGTTTCTTCAATAATCTAGTGATATAAAAAAAGGAAAATAATTTCAACTCAAATGTGACCAAGACTTAGAATAAAATAAATAAGCACAAAGCTATGTATCATATAATAGGAGCAACCGTTTCCCTTTGGAAAACAACTACTCCTTTGGCTAATACCGCAACAGGTATTGCATTACATCCAAAGGAAATACAGCAGAGATAGAAATCAAAGGTAGAGTGTTGAAATTTAATTTCAATCTCTGCTGCATTTCCTATGGATATAATTCAATACCTGTTCGGTATTGTCCAAAGGAGTAGTTGTTTTTTGAAAGGAAACGGTCGCTCGAATTATGTGATACATGGCTTTATGCTTATTTATTTTATTTCTAGTGATATAACTTCTAAATTCGTGCATCTGAATTCTTCACTGAAATCGGCCTAAGCTACACCAGTGTTGTAATTTAAATTACTGACCCACCGCATTTTTGCACCATACAAGCACATTATTCTGTTTTTGCACTATTACTCTGCTAAATCTAGATGTTGGCTCTTTTGTATTCTTTTTAGGCCATCGTTATAGGATTACGACTATGTTCTATGTTGATATTGGGATGGAATCTTGGTTCGTGTTATTTCTTTATTCTTTATATTTCTTTGTAATTTGTAAGATATATTCGTATTTCTAAATATAGATGCCTTAGTTTACGAACCTTCTAAGTCTGATTACTTATTTATGATATGAAAACCTTATATCTTCAATATGTAATAACTTAAAAAAAAACAAAACCTTGTAGGATGTACTAATTACCTTAACATTATCAAATTACCCACCAAATAGAGTCTTTGTAATTTTAAAATTCAATTCACTTTTAAAATAGCAATGTTTTTATTGTCTCCTGAAAAAAAAAAACATCATTTGTGACTTAAAAAGTTTGGGAACTAAAGGTATCCAGATATGAATAAAACGCGTAACATATTTCTATCGTCTATCCATATCCATGTTTACTATTACGTTCTCTTCTTTCCAATACTACTCTTGTAACTAAACCCTTTTTATGCATTTACGTTTAGTTATCGTCATTACTGTAGCACATTTTTCTTAATACTCTTGAATATAAGCACATCACAATTTTTTATATAAGATACACGGAAATACATATTTTTCAAAGAAAAAGTCCAAAAAAAGTCAAATTTTTCTATTGTAATCCTTATTGTCCCACATAAAAATATAATAAAATAGATAAAGGATGTTTTTCTTTAATTTGCTTGTTTCTATTTAGACACGGTACTTTAGAACTGCTATTCATCTTCTGTTGTAACCTTTTTATCATTTTCGAGTTACTTCTTACTCATAAAAACATCTTCCAAACAAGATTCTCATTTTTCTCTAGATTCCCTTTGGATGACAATTTTAGCATGTCGCTTTAGAAACCGATTAGTTTTTTAGTTTTGTTTCTTTTTTTTTGTGTAGTTTGTCCAGTAGTCTTCCAAATCAAAATAACACAAGCACAGACGAAGACATGCAGAAAGCCAAAGTTCTCTACGATTACGAAGCTAAAGATAGCACAGAACTGAGCCTAAAAGCCAACGAGGTAAGCCTACATATATTTACTTACAAAATAAGATTTCTTTTTAATTGCCGCGAATAACTCAATTTAGCATAAAATTGGAGATACCACTTTTAAGCGAAGCACGGCAGTACATCCGTCTGACACTGTTTATCATTACTTCTAGGATTTACAGATAAAGCATATTTCTATGACTTAAAATTCATTAGAAATTATTCTTGTTCAAATAAAACATAAAATTGTCATACGACTGAAATTTCTGGTAGGAACAATAATTTTTCTTGGCTGACAACTACAATCTAAGATCTGATTAAAGTTAGGTACTTTATATCATTGCCATAAGAGCCCATTTCTTGATGGAACCCTGTCTTCGCTTCATTTGGAAAGTTTTACTATAAAAGAGTACCGTTTTAAATAAAAGTCAACATACTAAAGTTGATATAGTTTACCCGAAACACTGGGATATAATTAAATTTTATCTCTGTAAACCTTTCCTAATGACATTGTACTCATTTATGCAGTTTTATGTTTTAGAGTTGGTTATAAAACATGATTAATTTCTGTTGACACTGGAACAAAAAAAAATTAAATTACAGTTGTAATTTGCAAATAACAAACAACATAACCTCAAAAGTAATAGTAAATGTTTTATCTTTTTCATTTTACGTTTCGGTAACAATCGTTGAATTAACACACATACCACCCATTTATTAAAGTGGCAGTTTCATTCAAACATAATTATTAAATAAACACAATTAAAATTGTCTTATGGGGATTTTTAGGGTTTGATAACTTGATTGGAAACATCGAGTTAGAATGAAATAGAGACGACATAAACACTGTTTTGTGATATGACAAGTGAACGCACGTTGAGTCGTATTTTGATTGATTTAAAGTTTTTTTTTCCCTGGGCTTGTCTGACTATGTATCTCCGAATAACACTGAAGCCTATTGGATTATTGTGTTTTACCCCATGTTAGTTCATAGCACCCACTCTGTCACCTTTGTACCTTGTACAAGTTTGTACAGATCCTTGGGTGAGCGGGTTCTATACGTTGTTGGATCAACCTGGGATTGTCCAAAAAGAGCCTGTCTTTTGCGATCTAGAGCTTCGCATTCGCACAGTATGTGTTTGGCCGTTTCTGGTTTCTTGTGACATAGTCGGCACATGAGTTCCCCATTGTACATGCCAATTTTGTTCAAGTGTCCCTTTACTGGGGCGTGCCCAGTCATGAACCCTGTTATCACTTTCAACTGGTTCCTGTTCATTGAGAGTAGTTCTCCAGTTCTTTTGGTACCTGGTCTGCCTATGAAGGCTTTTCCATGTGCCTGTTTTGGGGTGTTTCCCCAATAGTTGATATGTTGTTCCCAAATCCAGTCGTTTATGAAACCCCGGACTGTACTTTTTGGTACTCCTGGGTTTGTGTCTGGTTCCGGTGTTTCTTCTGACCCTCTTTTTGCAAGTTCGTCAGCCTTTTCGTTGCCTTCTATCCCTTGGTGACCTGGTACCCAAAATAGTTTTACTCTATTTCGGTCTGCCAGTGTTCTTAGTTCTTCGATGCATTCCCATACCAGCCTCGACGTAACTTTCTGACTCGATATGGCCTTAAGTGCCGCTTGGCTGTCTGACATTATTTGAATATGCTGATTTTCGACAGCTCTTTCATTGTTCGTTTTTGCACATTGCAAAATTGCGTACACCTCGTCCTGAAATACCGAGGAATGTATTCCTATAGCATAGCTATGGTTAGTATCAGGGTTTTTGGAGAATACTCCTGCCCCAGTGCCTTCCGCAGTCTTAGACCCGTCTGTATACCAGGTTTGTTCCTGTCGTTGGGCATTGGGCTGCCTTATAGTGATCTCCGCTCTTTCCTGTATTAAAACCTCAAATGGAGTATTAAAAGAGTACCTCTTGGTTATGTGGTCTGATCTCATGTCTAGCACGTCTCCTGTCACTAACCTTGAGATACTCATGTGACCTGGCCTAATGTCAAGATTTCCCAGTGTATTCCCTAATCTGTAAGCACCTAATCTTGCATCCCCTTGTATCACATAGTGAAGAGGTGGGAGTCCTATTAGTGCTTCCATTGCAGCAGTGGGGGTTGTTTTCATTGCCCCCGTTATTCCGAGGCAGGCAAGTCTTTGTACCTTGCTTAGCCTCGTTATTGCTTTCCTTTGGTGTGTCTTTGGCCACCACACCAAAGTTGCGTATGTTATTATAGGTCTCACCACCATGTTATAAAGCCAATATACCATGTCTGGTTTTAACCCCCATTTTTTTTCCAAAGGATCGCCTTGCCATCATTAATGAGGTTTCCGCTCTCCTTGTGGTTCTTTCTAGATGCTGGTTCCAGGTAAGTCTCGAGTCAATAATAACCCCGAGATATTTTACCTCCCCCTTAAGCTGGATGCTTGCACCTCTTAAGTTTAGAAGCCCTAGTCCCTCCAATTTCCTCCTGCGGGTGAATGCAATTATGTCAGATTTGTTTGGGCTAATGTTTAGTCCTTCCGCCTCTGTCCATTTTGTTACTATATTTAGAGCCTCTTGCATTCGATCTCTTACTATAATATTGTATTTTCCCTGTGCCATGATCACTAGATCATCGGCATATCCCAGGGTTCTATGTCCTTTATTTTTGAGAGCCCTAAGCAGCCCGTCCACAACAAGGTTCCACAGGAGTGGAGACAGCACTCCACCCTGTGGACATCCTCTCGCTACCCGTGCCGCTATTGTCTCTCCCATAAGGGTTGTGTGTATAGTTCTCTCCCTTAACATAGAGTCGATCCAGGACACGCATGTGTCCTCGATTCCTCTGTGTTTGAGAGATCTAATGATCGATTCAACGGAGGTATTGTCAAAAGCACCCTCGATATCCAATAATGCTCCCAGCATTACCTCCTTGTTTTCCAGTGTGTTCTCCACCCTTTTTATTAATTGATGGAGAGCTGTTTCAGTTGATTTCCCTGCACTGTAGGCGTATTGGTCTTGGTATATTGGCCTCTGAACCAATATCCCGTCTCTAATATGCCTATCTAGCAGTTTTTCCAAAGTCTTAAATACAAAGGACTTGATTTAAAGTTAATAATTTTATTTTTGAAAATTGATGCAATGACAATGTTTTTATATCATTTAAATCGCGCTATTTTAAAAAAATGGTATTTATTCTCACCAAAACTGACAAAGTGCTAATGCAAAAGTGCGGACACTTTTAGTATCGTCATTGCATCTCCTCATTATTCTGTATCAATGATTGGAAAGATTCGTATGTCCCGCTCTACTTTGTGTCGTTGATTATGTACGATACACAAAATAACGTACTTTAAGTGATTTTAAGGAAACATTGTTGGTTTAATGGATCTGTTGACGTGTTGACCTGTCTTTTTAGCTACAGGCTTTCGCGAAAACATCTCGCTCCCTCGAGTTCACTGAGAATAGTGCACCACGGAGAAGCGATTAGCCAGAGCTTATTGGCGTACCCAAAAATTGAAATTAACACGTATGAAAACTATAAAATTATTAAAATTGAATTTATATTATGTTATTTATTTTAAAATAATGTATTTTTATGAAGTGTAACTGCACAAATAAACCAATGGAAAAACGCCCCTGCTCTCAAGTGTTTCTTAAGTTTTGGATATAAATAATCCAATGATGCTAAAACCAGAGAATAGGTCAGCCAATGCAAAACCAATCTCATAAAATGTTTGCATCACAATCAACGACTTGTGAGCAGGGATATTCTATTTCAAAAAAAAAAAAAAATATATATATAGATAAGTTTTCCAAGGCGCTTTTACACAACTTTCTCGCATATAATCTAATTAGCAGCTAAAATGTCTTAATTGACGTCATTTCAAAAAAAAACGTCGCAGTTAAGGACAAGAGTATATGTATATTCATTATTACTAGTGTGATTTGAATAAGGAAAACGTTATTCAATTAAAATGTCAATTCAGGTCAACTCCAAAAATCTGTGTGGTAGCATCGCCAAAGGGGCGTTGGCGAGACGTTATTATTTGTCTGATTCGAACAAAACAAACGCAGCAATATTTAAAATGCGTTGATCAAGCGAATTACCATCTTCATCTTTGATTGGGCCCAGAACACTGCGGCCTCTTGGGTCTATTGTATTCCCCTGCTTCCCCCGTTTTCAGGTACTATTTTTGGAATAGTTCTGTGCCTTTGGTTAGTTTTACTAAGTTCCCTCCCTACCAAGTGTTCTAGGGGCGTTCTTTCCGGTTCTAAGCCGAAAAGGGTAATACGCCGCCTAGTAAGAGCTTCGCATTCAAAGATAACATGGTTTAAGGTTTCTTCGTCTTCTATGTAGAGTCTACACGTGATGAGATTATTGTGTCATCACATGAAGGTGTTTCAGTAAGCAGAGTCCCGTTAGTACTGCTACAACGGTAGATATCTGAGGCCTTGCGAGCTTTAGTACCTCAGCAGCCATGAGTGGGTTTGGTCCCCTTAGCATGAGCTTACTGATTCTGTACTCTCCTATCCGTTGCCATTGGTTACCCATCTGTTTACTGCTTGTCGAGTAGAGGTTTTGTTTATCCCAAATACAGGTTCGGGTCCTGGCGAGTTAATCAGCTTTTTCATTTCTTTGGATACCTTTATATCTTAGTATCCACGCAAGTGTTACCTTATTGTGGGTTGACAGATCATTTAGGCAGTTCAGGACCAACTTTGACTTGTTTCTGTTTGAACCAAAGGCCTTTAAGGCCGCTTGGCTATCTGAGAGAATTAAGATGGTCTGTTTTTGTACTTACTTCTTAAATTCTCTTGTAAACACAATTTGATTGCATGTATTTCAGCCTGAAATACAGTGGTATGTTTTCCAGTGAGACTAGGATGTCGCATTTGGGTTTAACTCCATGTACGCCAAAGCCTGTTCCCTTGTTAATTTTAGATCCATCCGTATACCATACAAAACCGCTAAATATTTCTCTACCTCCTTATTTACCTCTTTCCAGCTACAGTTGACATATTATCTAATCCCATGTTTATTATAGTATCATTTATCTCATATGTTATTCTGGTACGTTTTATATGTCCCAGTGGGTTCAGCTTGTATGCACTCATTCTGGCCTCCCATTTATGATTATGTCAAGTGGTGGGAGGTTTAGAATGATTTCCGTAGAGGCTGTCGATGTACTCAGTGCTCCTGCAATACAAATGCCTGCCAGCCTCTGTACTCCTGAAAGGGTATTGAGGGCTGTTTTCTGGTTGACTTTTGGCCACCAGACAACCGCTCCATAAGTTATTATGGGTCTTGTTATTGCCGAATATAGCCAGTGGACCATTTTCGGTTTTAATCCCCATGTTTTTCCAAATGCCCGTCTCCATACAATGAGAGAGACATTTTACACATGTTGGTCACTTTTTGTAAGCGTTGGTTTCAAGTAAGTTTACTATCTAGGATTAGACCCAGATATTTTACTTGGTTCGTTCTTGTTTAGCCTTCTTTCAAACAGGGTCGGAGTTTCTAATACCTCCATCCTTGTTTTCCGGGTAAATATTATGAGTTGTGCCTTGTCAGGGTTTATCAAGTTTTCCCTAACCTATTACATTTCTGTCAGCCTTAGAGCTCTTTGCATGAGTTCGAAGATTGTGGTTTGGTGTTTCCCTCGGATAATGATGAATATGTCCGTACAGTCCTTGATTGTTCAGTGTTCTCAGTAGTTCATCTGCCACTAGGTTCCAATGTAGAGGAGAAAGGACTTCATCCTTTGAGCATCTCCTGTGGATATTCACCTGCATGGTTTCACTGATCATTTATGCCTGAACTTGCCGTCCGCATAAGATATCTTCTATCCATCAGCAGATGGTGTCTTCTTTACCATGTTTGCGAGTGACACGTAGCATTGATTTAAAGAAAGTGTTATTAAAAGCTCCTTCTATGACAAGAAATACTCCTAGGATTATTTCTTGCCTACTGAGTCCCCCTTCTATCTTGGTTACAAGATGATACAGAGCAGACTCACAAGATTTTCCTGATTGATAGGCATGAATTACTATACACGTGGTGCCATCTAGTGTCGGCTATATGAATTGACAGAAACGTCGATCAAGAGAATTACTGTATAAGTGGTGTGGTTGCTTCTGCGCATGTTGTCACAGAATCCCTGTAGTTCGTCTACTTATATGTTGAGTCCAATTCGTCGATCTTCTAAAATCGTATTATATATAGATTCAATGTTTTCGAGTATGCTTCCAGAGCGGTGCCCATCTTTAACATTTGATCTTCCTCTTTTAAATAATGTGATTTAATGGTGACATGAAGAAAATTGATTACATAAAATTTCTGTCATATCAAATTTGTCAAATTCTAGCTTTTCCTCAGACATACTATTTTTAAAAACTCACAGTTCTAAACGTTCAACTGTGAATTTCCTCTCAATTTATTTATAAAACATCATAGTTTGAACCATTTTTAATTTTGTTTACTAAATCTTTTCAAGGCTAACTAGATATCAATATTTCCGCGTACATTGGCGATTAAAAACTGGCGAAGAATTCAAATGAAACGCGATTAAAAAATAACTGCAATTAATGTTCCAAATGTAAATAACTGACCATGAATTTGATTTCCGAAAATGCACTGAAATGTTCATAGTTTTTGTTACAGTTTGTCAACAAAAGTTAACGTTAATATTTTTATTATTTTAGGTAATGTTAGTACGAGACATCCAAAATTCAGACTACTATATGGGCAAAAACGGCAAAAATAATCAAGGTTTGGTGCCCAAAGCGTACCTAGAAGTACTTACTTAATAATGTTAATACCTTAAACCTTCTGAATGTACATTTACGACGTTCTTCTTTTTCCATCACTCTATCTCGTTGTCTATGTGTATTATAACTATTACTGTGCATTGATTCATTCCATTTTTATCCTTATAGGTCATTTTTTCGTATTCTAAATTTTGAAATGATAATTTGGCGATGCGTAGATAAATTTAGGTTGGTGACAGTTGTATCAGTTGTCAAATTATTGTATTTTGCAAAGGGATTCTTATGTGCGAGCTCGACACGTTACGTATCGAATGGAAAAAGACATCACATAAGAATCGCAGTCTGTCGAAAGAAGATAGGCGTCTCGATACGTATCGTATCGAAAGATGAGAATCCTAATGATGAATTCTGCAAAAACAAATACTTGGGTGTACTTCTTTAGATTATTTTAGTTTGAACCGCACGTAGATGAAATAAAACTAGAAATGATCGAATGTGAAGAGTCTAAACTTAAATTACATTTGAATTTCTTGATAAAAGATAATTGTGATATATATTTGATAGTTTATGTCAATTGTCAAATCGTATAAGTGTCTAGTCTGCTTCGAAGAATCTTTCAATCATTCCGTATTAATAATTACTAATAACTGCCAAATAATCATAATGTTGGGTTCTACAATAATTGCAGTTTTATTTGACATTTAGTGTCAACTGTCAAATCATTTATATTGTCTCCTGTATTTTGCAGATAATTTACTTTGAAACTAGTGCAGTAGTAAAAATTGTGACATATTTGATATTTACCTGTTACTGTGTCACTGTCAAATCACATATTCTGGCCTGCCTTTTAATGTGTGAAGATTATCCATAAAATTTTACTCTTTAGTACATTGTAGTTTTGCATTATTATTTAATTCAATCGTGTCATATTGAAAATTTTATTAAATGTTACTAACTACTGCCAATTGTGACATTGATAACAAGTGTGATATTTGACATTTAATATAAAGTGTCAATTACAGAGTGACTTGTTTCGCTAATTTTGGCTAATTGAAGTTTAGAATATAAAAAATGACCATTAAAATGTTATTCCAAGAATTCTGCGATATTTATACACCACTAACCTGTTAAGTAGATATTAGAGTATATGAAATGCAAAATATGGTATTGAATTTGTTGCAGTTTGTCCTAATTAAAGAAAAATAATATAGTATTACATATTATTATTTTTTTAAATTAACTATCTTTATAGAGGGATAAACTAATAAGAATCTTTTATTATTTTTTGATTTTGTGTGATTATAAAAGTGTTGATATTTGAGAAAAAGTTGGGAATTGAACAGTTCTAAAGAAAGATATTACAGTTTTAATATAAGCAAGAAAAAATCAAATGTTATAGTTTTGCTTAATTTCATGACAAAAATTGTAAAATCCGATATATTTCTTTTATTACTGTTTCATTTCGATTTTTTTACGTATTTTAAACAATAATGATATTTATTTTCAGCTGAAATTATAGTTAATTTTGTAATATTAAATTTAAATGCACTAGTTATATGGATAATCGACATTATTTCTTTGTTATATTTATCATATTGTTAATTAATTGACTAATAATTTAAATATTAAATGTTAATTTTTTTATATAATTACAGTATTTAAAAATATATTATTAATTTCATACTTTGTTGCCAAATTATTTGTGTTTTTGTCTGTATTATTATTTTTTTAATTTATATTCTTACGTTTTAATCCCAGTTACATAGCCAGGTTCGTTTTTCAGTAATTCAATAAAACATCATAATTTTACATACCTATCTTTAAAATTAGAAGTAATTACCTGGGCTATTATTTCATATTCATATCAATAGTCCAGGATTATTTGTTATAAATTTGGAAAAATATAAAACAAAGTTGTGAAAGTAATTTTTTAGGTAAATTAGACAAAATGTGATTAATTTCTCTAAAAAAATAATCAAAATTAATATACACTAACTATAAAATATCTTATATTAGGCATTCCAATGACCTGTCAAAATGCTGCCAATGGGAACTGATAGTTTATATATGGCATCCCTGTGAGCCTGTTGTCATTGACAAGGTCATTGATACATATATAGATATATAGATTGCTCAAAGCGAGTCGTTTGCGAGCGGCCATATTGCCTGGCCAGTATTCATTAATTTGAATCGGATTAGCAAAAATGTGTTTTAAAACCAATTTCCAGCCTTTTGAACATATTCATATTAAAAAAAATTTACATTTTTACTTCAAGGTATATGTTTATTTTTATAAACATGGATGATCAATCTATATAACTATCTATTTCATTGACCTTATCAAACCATCAGGCTCACAGTGTTGTCATATTATAACCTATCATGTGCCTGTCATTTCAAACGGGCAGCCATTTTGTTTGGAATCCCTAATTCAATTGTCGGTAAATAATTTTTTTATAAATTCACTGTTATATACAACCACTCAAAACTTTATATTTTAAATGTAAAATCTATTAAAAAAATACTCATTTTAATAATATGAATTTGCGCAAACATTATTGAAGACGGTCAACTCATTATATTGATTACGTTCCACGGTAATTTTTAAAAAGTTTATTTTTTTTATCGAAAAAAAAAAAAAAAAACGCAATAAGTACTCGTATGTAGTCAATTTTTATTAAACTGTGCAATTAAAATTGTAAAAAAATACAAAAAGCTTTTATTATAAAAAAATATATATCACTCAAAACATTGTTATTGTTAATCTATAACGTTAAATAAACGAATTTTGAACTTATTTGTGTTTAAATTCCATTGAGTACTGGAGAGAGGTCAGAAGAAATAGAATAAAAGGTTATGCACGCAGAGTAAGTACTAAATGCTAAATAAAAACTAAAAACACTGCGATTTTCCAACCAGGGGTAGGAATCTTTAATGAACCAAACGTAAATGGACTCTGGACCGATTGTTTAGTAATGAAACTAACAAAATTGGAGGTTAGACTAGATTTGGTTAAGACTGGGGTCATGTAGACTCCCTCTCCTCGACTTTTTCAGATCTATGGACATTGTTCATAAAATATACGAGTAGATAGGTCACTCTGAGTGGGCCTTTGATATCTTCTTTGAACCAGGTCTCTGCATAGGTATGTTAAGCTTATACTTTCCTGTTAATAGACCTACTAGTACTCTAGTATTATTTCAATTCTGGGTTAGTAGATGATCGGTGAGTTGTCGCGATGGTGTCCTCTTATGTAATCTGGCCTGTATATCCTGGTGAATTTTTCCAACGTTCCTGAGTAACATCCATTGCTTTGAGCGTGTTCTAATGGCTATCTTTGTGACACCACGGAAGGTTTCTGGGCCATAAAGAGTGAAGCTCCTTCTCGGACTAGTAAATGGGCCTTTTCATTGTCCTTATGTCCTCTGTGGTCTGGTAACCAGGCTAAGGTTAGTCTGTTTTGACAACCCAGTTCTGTCAAACAATCCCACACAAACTTTTAGTGTATCTGCATGCAACTGAGTGCTTTTGGCGTTACTTGAGTGTCTAAATATACAATGGTTTTCCCGTTTACCTTACGTCTTAGTACCGCTTTTACCCATTGATGTATTGCTGGTAATTCTACCGGGACTACTGGTTACATGTTTACCTAAGCGTAGTGAGATTCTTGTTATTGGCTTCGCACTCTATATACCTACTACTGCTCCTTCATTGGTTTTGGAACCGTTTGTTTACCAGATGATTCCTGCGTGAATAGAAGATCTTGCACTCCACGCTTTTCTGTATAGTATACTTACTTTATATAGTTTTTGAGAGCTATATTTTGGAAGCATTTTATCTGAAGACATTCATAGTATTTGGTCGTTTTTCAACTCTTCATATAGCTCACAGTAGTCATGCCCATGCAGATTGTTTTTAGGTGATGGACCTTTGTGCAGTTTGTATGTAACGGACGTGGCCTCACCCTGAATGAATAAGTGTAATAGTATTAGGTTTTGCATGACTTGTAGGGCTGTTGTTGGGATCGTTTTCATTGCTCCCGTGGCATCTAAGCATGCTTGGTTTGAATATTGTTGAGCTGTTAAATGGCTCCAGCTTGCCAATTCTTTGACCATAACACCATCGACCAGTAGGTTACCATACATATATAGAACTTGGACATTTTTGGTTGTAATTCCCAATTTTTACTGCACACCTTCCGACATTAGTTGAAGGACGTTGTGATTTTTTGGATGACTTTGTAAGTTTGATTTCATGTTAACTTGTGGTCAAAGATGACATTCAAGTATTTTGCCTCCTAGGCAAACGGAATCCCTATTCCTTTCAATACTGATGACTAGTCCTGTCAGTACCTTCGTTTTATGAAGTTGATTATTGCTGTTTTGTCAGGGTTTAGTTCCTGCTCTCTGCAGCTCTGCACTATTCGTCAATTATGTTTAGAGCAATTTGTGTGCGTTTCGATATTGTACCTGCGAACTTGCATTTTACGACAATCGCTAGGTTATCGACAGGGAAGCATGTAACAGCTCTATCGAAAATCTTGACCAACATGGGAGGACCAAGCAGCACCAAAAGACAATTGATGTATGAGGTGGTGAAGTCAACAGTTCTTTAAGCGGCATCAATATGGGCTGAAGCAGTAAAGAAAACATAAAAATCTGGTGTTAAGAGTACAGCGAAAAAATGTTACTGCCTATAGAACGGTATTAGAAGCACTGTAAACGGTCACTGAATGTATCCCTCTGGAGATACTTGTAGATGAAAGAGCTAGGTTGTACGGCAGACAAACAAATGCAAATGATTCGTAAGTTAATGATCTGGAATTGAAAAGATCTGAAAGATCTACAATAAATATCTGGCAGGATAGGTGGAGCAGCAACACTGACAATTGACAACGCGGCTTAGACTGTAATTTCAAGGAAACGAAACTACTATATGACAGAGGCGACTGAAGGAATGTTGTACCTGCGGCATCTCTGTGACAAGAGGTGGTTTAAGCAGGTAGACTATCGTTATTAGATAGAATTCTATACGTCTGGGTTCACTTCCCAGATAGTCTTTGGAAGATTTACACCTCTTAAAAAAAGTAATCGCAATTAGCATTTATTATTGGGTTTTTATTTGTTCTTTCTAGATTGTGAGTGAGGAAATGTGTTACTTTAGATATATATTTTTTTAAATTTTATCAATGGCATTAACTACTTTAGGAATAGCACTGTTAATTAGAACCCAACACTGAATGGTCGACTGGGGAATCCTACCTAGGCATTAGAATTAATATTCCTGTAATTAGGTTGTAAAATCTTTTAGAATGTTCGTAAATAAATAAATAAATATTCTAGGCAGTAAGAGTTTGCAAGTTATATTATCTTTTCTAGAGGCCAGCAGTCAACTTAAATATTTTACTTATATTTTTTCAATATTGTGTTTATCTAAATCAGCCAAACTCAACATGCGGGCCCTCCAAGCTTTTTTGCAGCCCGAAATACTATTAGTAAAAAAGTGCTTTTCAAAACAATAGGTTTCTGTTTTAAAATCTTGAGCGAAATGCGCGAACACATTCATCGGTCGCTGCGCTAAATATCACGCCAATTTTCAATAACCGTTTGGATCATTGAGTTAAGTACACTTTCGCTTGAAAAATAGTTCAAATACTATATGCGGCATAAACAGAACAAATGTGAACGGAGTCTATATTAATGATAAACGGATGGTCAATAAAAACTAACTCCATATTAATACATTTACAATATGCACATACAAGATGAGTGGCATTTATACCTAAATATAATCATAACATTGTGTTCAGTGGCTAATAGTGTGTCTACCAAAACCAGATA